GATGAAGCCTCCCCAATCCACCACCAACCATGGCCAATCCACTGCTGGATGAGGCCTCCCCAATCCACCACCAGCCATGGTCAATCCACTGCTGGATGAGGCCTCCCCAATCCACCACCAGCCATGGCCAATCGACTGGTGGATGAAGCCTCCCCAATCCACCACCAACCATGGCCAATCCACTGCTGGATGAGGCCTCCCCAATCCACCACCAGCCATGGCCAATCTACTGGTGGATGAAGCCTCCCCAATCCACCACCAACCATGGCCAATCCACTGCTGGATGAGGCCTCCCCAATCCACCACCAGCCATGGTCAATCCACTGCTGGATGAGGCCTCCCCAATCCACCACCAGCCATGGCCAATCTACTGGTGGATGAGGCCTCCCCAATCCACCACCAGCCATGGCCAATCCACTGGTGGATGAAGCCTCCCCAATCCACCACCAACCATGGCCAATCTACTGCTGGATGAGGCCTCTCCAATCCACCACCAGCCATGGTCAATCTACTGCTGGATGAGGCCTCCCCAATCCATCACCAGCCATGGCCAATCCACTGCTGGATGAGGCCTCCCCAATCCACCACCAGCCATGGTCAATCCACTGGTGGATGAGGCCTCTCCAATCCACCACCAGCCATGGTCAATCCACTGCTGGATGAGGCCTCTCCAATCCACCACCAGCCATGGTCAATCCACTGGTGGATGAGGCCTCTCCAATCCACCACCAGCCATGGCCAATCCACTGCTGGATGAGGCCTCTCCAATCCACCACCAGCCATGGTCAATCCACTGGTGGATGAGGCCTCTCCAATCCACCACCAGCCATGGCCAATCCACTGCTGGATGAGGCCTCCCCAATCCACCACCAGCCATGGCCAATCCACTGGTGGATGAGGGCCTCCCCAATCCACCACCAGCCATGGTCAATCCACTGCTGGATGAAGGCCTCCCCAATCCACCACAAACCATGGCCAATCCACTGGTGGATGAGGGCCTCCCCAATCCACCACCAGCCATGGTCAATCCACTGCTGGATGAAGGCCTCCCCAATCCACCACCAGCCATGGCCAATCCACTGCTGGATGAGGCCTCTCCAATCCACCACCAGCCATGGCCAATCCACTGCTGGATGAGGGCCTCCCCAATCCACCACCAGCCATGGTCAATCCACTGCTGGATGAGGCCTCCCCAATTCATCACCAGCCATGGCCAATCCACTGGTGGATGAGGGCCTCTCCAATCCACCACAAACCATGGCCAATCCACTGGTGGATGAGGGCCTCCCCAATCCACCACCAGCCATGGTCAATCCACTGCTGGATGAAGGCCTCCCCAATCCACCACCAACCATGGCCAATCTACTGCTGGATGAGGCCTCCCCAATCCACCACCAGCCATGGCCAATTCACTGCTGGATGCGGGCGTGCATGTGGAATCGTTCAAGTGGCGTGGAGCCCGTGGCGCAGAGGTTAGCGCACCAAAGTTCAATACCCAGCCGCGGTTAACATCAGCCACGATCCAGTTTATATACGAAACGATCTTGGGCCCCATCCCGCACTGACCAGCGTGGTGAAGTATGGTCAAACAACCCTCACGGCAGCCTTCGTCCAGCAGTGGCTTGACCGTGTGCCGTAGTTTAAAAAGAAAGTGTAATCCGTCTTTCTCGAGAAGGGGGAATCAATTATGCAATGCCACAGTGCTGGGATGGTAACAGTCTGCGTATAGTGCCAATGTTGGATTGCAACTGGGACTGATCACGGATGATGATTGCAGGTGACCCGCCATGCATAACCGGGTGTTATAGGCTACCTCGGTGGATAGTGGTGGACCAGCAGACACCAGCTTGTTGCAACAACGTTGGACTGTACTTCTGCGCCCTCGCCCGTTATGCTGTCGACCTGGAATGACCGGGTGGGGGAGTGCCGGATGATCCTAGTAGCCACGTAGCTAGCTACACGTGTAGTAGCTACATGTGTAGTAGCTACATATGCTACGGGCCCCGCACTTTCAAGGGCCCCGCGCTAAATGCTTTCAAGCTATCAATTCCGTTCTAGATTTGAAGCTTTCGTGATTGCAAGGATTCATACTCTTAGTTTTTTCGGTAAAGTCACGTAGGTAAAAAAATTTAATTAAAATTTATAAAAATAAAATAATAAAAATCACAGCCAGATTTGCTGTATCAAATCTGGCTGTGACGGTCCCACCTGATGACGGAGACTTGTGTTGCCTCCGAAACGTCGTGATTTTTATTATTTAATTTTTATTAATTTTAATTTCATTTTTACCTATCAATTCCGGTTTAGTTATTCTGCACTTGCTCTATTACTATAGTACTATACCGCCTTCAACTTTTACGAACGACCGGGTGTTTAAGGTTAGCGACTTGTGTTGTATTATCTGGCTGTACAGCAAATGAAAAAATACAATTACTTTACGATGCAAGTTCAAAATGTGTGTTTTAATGTTTTTTTTTAATTTAGGGCCCCTTTATAACATGTGCTACAGGCCCCGCACTAGCTTAATCCGGCACTGGTGGTGGGGGGGGGCATGCGCTGAACGAGCCTGTGCCGCACAGGGAGAGCTGCCACTGGGGGTGCCCCTTTCAGGTGCGGTGACTTGGGAGGGGGGGGGGGATGATGAGCTGTGCGGACGGTTGTGAAGCGCTCCGAGGCGCCGAGGTGGACTTACTGGGCGGCTCCGATGAGCACGGGTTGGCTATGTACGGCGTGAAAGAAGTTCTACATGCACACACGTCCAGGGTGCTTAAAAAAATGTTTTACCACTTATACGGGACTGTCGTTTTTAATGGAAAAAGAACGGATAAATACACTGTAACATGATAAAAAAAAAGTATGTTAATAGCTTCATAAAGTCCAATAGTTTCCACTCGTTCACCATCATTGTCAACACATGGCCCGGAATCTTCTCCAGGTGGTCTCCAGAGCCCAGAGGCGCGTTTCTTGTGGTGGTGTTGGTGCAAATTCTCACAATTGTTAAAAACATTTTGAAGCACCCTGTATTTAAAAAAAAAACGTGATTTTACGTGTATCGAATTTCTTTCGCACCGTACGTAGCCAACCACGCTAATCGGAGGTGCGTGAGAAGGACAAAACAACTAAGCACAAACCAGTGACTGACCGTATTCTTTCAATTATAACGACGCAACAGCTTTAACCTTTATGTCAGGACATCTTGAGGGTGCGTCTTATAATACAGTGTGTGTGTGCGCGCGCCCAGATTTGTATACAGCTACTTTATTGATATCAGGGCACACAGTATGGGGCCGTCCTTAAATGACGTCACGCGATTTTGAACGAGTTTTTACCCCCCCCCCCTCGTCACACAGCGTCACAAAAAGTCAGACCCCCCCCCCTCAAATGACGTCACAAAGCTCTGCCCCCCCCAAAAAAAATGCTTCAAATCGCATTAAACTATTGTCATTGTAGTGCGTATTTAATGCGGCGCTGCACTCTGATGTTGTAGGAGAAAACATTTATTAAAAAGTCTATTTAATTAAGTAGAACGTGTTGTCTATATTTATTTAAAGTTGCGCATTTTGATGTGAATTCACATTTCTCAAACCCCCCCCCCCCTCGTCACACATCGTCACAAATGTCTGACGCCGCCCCCCCCCCCCCAGGTGCGTTACGTCATTTATGGACGGCCCCTATTACTTTCAGGAGCGTCTTACCATCCGAAGAACACAGCTTATGCCAGCAGAGGATTGAAAGAGGGCTGAGATGCTACGAGACAGTCAAGGAACCACAAACCAAGGCTGTCCGCGTTAATTGGAACCGCAGCGCAAACCACTGCACCTAATTGGTGTTTCGTCTGACGCCCCAGCTGTTGCCGTGCCTTGCGAGAATTCGACCTTTTGACCCGATGATAATCGCGGTCTGGAGGTCTGCACGCAAAGGCCGCATGCCCTTGACCCCGTAATTGAATTCCATCAGCTGAGACCACGGGGGGGAAAAATAGCCAGGCAACTTCAGGTCGCCGTGTGTGTGTGTGTGTGTCATCCTTCCCAGCATGCACCCTTTCATTAATCATCATCATTATTATCAGCCAAGGTCAGGTCACATGCTCATGCTTCCCAAGCGGCAGCCAGTCCTCTTGAGCGGCTTTTGGCTGGCCATCGAACAAAGACGGTCACTGCCTCGCGCGCTTTCGGATGCGCTCCTGCGTCCGTCTGGAACGCTCTTCCTTGCCGGTATTAAGAAGCCACTGGAGCTACGCACTTTTACGTCGTCGAGATTGACAAACGAATTCACTTAGAACTGCTTTTTGTGTTAAGTTTGTTATCCTTCCCCCGCACCTCCGATTATCACGGTTGGCTACGTACGGTGCGAAAGAAGTTAAACATACTCTTAGTTCTTTCGGTAAAGTCACGTAGGTAAAAAAATGAAATTAAAATTAATTTATTGTTTTATTTTTATTAATTTTTATTTCATTTTTTACCTACGTGACTTTACCGAAGGAACTAAGAGTATGAATCCTTGCTTCAAATCTAAAGTTAAACATACATACATACATGCGATCCTGCGATACAATAATCCACCCGGCACTGGCACACGTGAACCCAATCCATCGCTCCATCTCCTCGGTGCACGTCTTCTCGGACGCGTTCAGCTCCACCCGAGCTGCCGCTCCGCGAGAAGTCTTGGCCATGGATCCCTTCCTGCTATGACGTCTCCTTCTAACCAAGACTTCAAATTTCCTAACGGTATGTAAAGTTGCGTGTATGTTGAACCTCTTTTGCACCGTACACAGCCCAACGTGCTCATGGTGTAATTCACCTGCGTATGTTGTCTACTCCACGTGCTCCCCCCCCCCCCTCCTTCGCCTCTTCAGTGCAATTGGAAGAATGCGTTCCTCCCAGGCTTCTTTGCAGGCTTTTCGATGTTTTGTTCAATCCTTGTTTGATAATAATGGACCATGTTTTGAAACCGTACCTCGGCTCGAACGACGTGACAGCCAAAACGCAACAACACACCGCTACACGTGCCGAGTTTGTGTGTAGTTTAATTTTAATATTTAAAAAAAGGTATTATTACACGTTTAAAACAACTGCCCCCCGGAAACAGCTTACTGCAACTGGAACGTCACTTTAGTTTAAACAAACAAACAAAATACACGCAGGCCAGGTGCTGCTTCATGAGCCAATTTCAAACGCGCTTTGTACACAATTAAGTTAGATGAAGCGTTCATATTTTACCCTTGTAAACAACGTGATCGCGCGAGTGCAACTTCACGCACGGCGAGCAGACACCCAGTGGCGTGGCACCAACGAGTGTGCAGGCGGTGCAACTGCACTGGAGGAGAGAGGAGAGGGGGGAGCGGTGTCCCCGGTGCCAAGCTGCAGAGAATGGAAGGGAGATTGGACGAAGAGAGCGAGAGAGCGAGAGAACGAGAGAGCGGCCCACCAACCCCTCCAATTCCATTCCTGGCACCGGAGCCCAATGCCAAACATGCCACTTGCACTCTCTCTCTCTCTCTCAGCTTGGCCAAATGGGATTCGTTGTTCGCATTGCCGTGCAGATTGGCCTCGGCGGAGACGAGAGAGGGCCCGGTCAGCCGTCAGGCTAACGCGGACGTGAGCAGGGGACAGACATTTTCAGCTCTCACCGCAAACCCAAAGGCACCGATGTATTTGCGTCTCTTTTAGGCCCCTTACGATATAAACTCGACGTAACCCGGGTGACCTTTCCAAGAGAGCCGATGTTCCCCCATGTGTCTCAATGGGAAAGGGGCGTGGGATTGTTATTTGATCTCGTGGTCGAATCCAGGGACTGTACTGCTGCCACCACCAGCCGCACGTGGCGAGGCTGTGGTGCGGCGTTTGGCGTGACCGTCGAGTGTGCAGGCGGTGAAACTGCAACGGGGACTGCACCGCAGGTTGCCAGAGGGGGGGGGGGACCCCAATTAATTCCTTTGCGCCAGGGCTCACGCCAACCATGCCACGCCGCTGTGGTACAGACTTGGTAGCTGCACGCAATTATATATTATAATTATTATTAGAAGGCACTATAGGTAGAATAATCGCCAACTTCCCACAGTTCAATGTGGCATTCTGGGGCCCACGTGATAAAAAAAAAAATTACGATAACCTTCGAGACACTGTAGGCAAGGGGCCCTTCCTCTAAATCAGTGTCACTTCACGATGCGTTTCCAAAAAGCTCCCCCGTCTCTCGTCCGCCCAGCGGTATAAACGAGTCGGCCCGAAATTAGTCGGCCGGCAGGTCGCGCGCGGTGGGGTTAAAGGGCGCGAGCGCTCGCACGCACCTATTGCGAGAGACGCGTGGCAAGCGCGCAAGAGGAGCCCTTCTAGTGGAGGCCAGCAGTGGCACGAGCGAGCAATTGCAGGGCCGCGCCTTTACCCGTTCGACGCTAAAACGAGAACATACATCGGTGGTGCACCTTGATCACAGGATTGTGATGGGACCCATCCACCTCTGCTGCTTAAGACAAACCCAATGAGTTAGTACTTTAGGCGAAAGTTCACAATAACAACTATCACTTAAGAGCGCTGGAAAGGGCAAAAGACGAACAGCAGACTACGGAAGAGCAGACACGCATAGGGGGAAAGGAAGGCGTGCGATGAGAATTCTGAACACACTGGAAACGTGCCCCTCGACCCGCGCTGCCATCTAACGTCCGGGCCACACCACGAGCAGTCAGTTTCCGTGCAACCAGAACGGCTCTTCAAAATCGCCGCGTGAAACTTCAAAACAGCGTTGCCCCCGCGGCCGCTTTGTCCACGTTCCGAGCGAGTGGTTGTGCAGCGTGGGTGCGTGGCCACGCTCGTAACCGCATGGCTCCACTCGTCCACGTCAGAATCGCGGCCGCGGAAATGTGCAGCGCGCGATCAAATCCGTCGCGAAAAAAAAATAACCCGCCGAGCAGAATCGGCGCTTGGAAGTCGAGTCTGTCTCTCCGCCACGCAACTGCTCGCAACCCCGTTGCAGAGGACGCCCCACGCGCGGTACGCAACTGAGTTTCGCGCAACTGACCGCTCAGGTGTGTGCCCGGATTAAGGAACGCACTGGACCCTGGTGAGAATTGAACACAAAGTTATGCTGATATGACAATCTTCAGTATTTGCGAATGTAGAAAAAAATGTAATACTTTAATTCGGACACTTCGTACGCGTAGTGTAGTGTGTATCTGCCAAACATCGATTTCCACAGTCAAGTAATCGCACACACGAGCTCAGAAAGCCGAAACGCGCGCTTCGAGTTTTAACTCCCGAGAGAACAGTATGGGCTAAATGAAGCCGAAAACTGCGCTCGAGATTTTCCCGTTGGCTTGTTTTTTTTTGTTCGTTTTAAATCTCGCGTGAAACGTACAGGGTGTTTGAAAAGGATGGACCCGATTTGAAATCGCTATATCTCTGGGAACACGAACCGCCCATGAATGAAACTCTTACCACTTGAAAGGGCGGGGCATAGAGAGGGCGGGGCACAGAGAGGGCGGGGCATAGAGAGGGCGGGGCATGGAGAGGGTGGGGCATAGAGAGGGCGGGGCATAGAGTTTAAAATGATTACCGCTCGATGCCTCTCCCAGCGCACAAACAGCCCCTAGCCTCAGTCGTTCGCAAGATGGTGACCCCGCAACACACAAGGGGCGTTTTGCGTTCTGCAGTTCAGCAAGACTGAATCCGTAATTGCGGTGCAGCGTGCGTTTCAACGGCGTTTTGGCATTGATCCGCCAATGTCAAAGAGCGTTCATCGTTGGTACTGACAATTTGAGGAAACAGGCTGTTTATGTAAGGGGAAGAGCAAGGGTGACCCACGCACCTCAGAGGAAAACGTGAGAAGAGAGGCGTTTGGGACGAATTCAACTATCGTCTCGATGTTGTCCGTACAGCAGGCGGAGGGCACAGAGCATTTATAAAATGGTTAGTAAAACTTGATAACTCATTAAACCGTTTTAACTTTTTGTGTAATTGTAACATGTTGCCATCGTGAAATATACTGCTTTGAAATTGGATCCATCTATTTAGAACACCCTGTATTCTCGCTCGTTCATACGCGGTCGGGGCCGAGCGAGACCGCACGGTCCAATGTCGGAGATGACGACTCCCCTTAGAACTTCACAGAGCGGCGAGAGTTTGGCAACCTACGGCACGGGGAGGCCTTCTCATCCAGCGGTGGAATGAACATGGCAAATTGTTATTATGATGATGACGATCGCCCGCCGGCAAATAGTTACAGGGAAAAAAATCTACCGAAAAAATCTCTGCGACGAACGTGATATTAATATTAACACGAGGGACATCAGCCGATCCAATACTGCAGTTGTTCCCTTACTGAATCTGCAAATACTGCCATTAATATACAACACTAGCGAGTGTGAACGGATATAGTTACCGCAAACTCAGAAAACAATTAAAATGCCACAGCCTGAGAGTCCTGCTCTCTGCCATACCGTCACGCAATCCCAACGAGTAAACAACCTTCATCCAGCATCGTACCACCGTGCGCTAACCGCTGCGCCGTCCGCTCGTTTAGCGACTGCAATCACTGCGGCCGCCCAATTGTCCTCCGAAATGTAAATCGGTCGCTGTGCTCGCCGCACAAGCCGATGATTGGTCAACGTGATCCACGTTGACACAGAGCGCTAACCCAAATTAAAATGGAGATGCGGTCTGTTCTCCTACAGCACCGCGTGTCGTTTTCACGACGCGAATTGGATATAATGAGATGATGAATGTAGGAGGGAAGACATTTTTATAACTGCGCATTCGAAGTGAATACGACGCTGATCGAGCGAACGGAAATGCGTCGCAGCGCGAGTAGGAGCGAGCGGTCGTACGGCTGCCTCGGCAGTAGCCTCGTCGCACAACAAGGCGGGATGCTACTGGATGCTTCTAGATGCTACCCACACGCCTCGGTCTTTCTTCGACCTGCGTGCGCATCTCACGTGTTATCGCAGACTGTGCTTTAACCCTACATTATTTATTTTAAAGCGACTTTCCCATAACGCGGTTATACGACTACTACCGCGTTATAGGAGAACACGACTGTACTGCGTGCATGTACGTGTGTACATGCGTGCCTCACGTGACACGTAGAGGAATTATTCCGAAGAAGAGATTCCTCTGTGTGTGTGCGTCGCACGTGACTCGCACGTGACCCTTCATAGGTGCTCGCGAGCATCACGATCTCCCCCAACAGCACTTGCGACACGTCTGTAGGCGGGGGACTTTTGTCTTCTTCATCTCTGGCCCACACAGGCTGCAGAGAGCACGGATTCAAGTTCAGAGACCTCGAGCGCGGGTGTACGTTCCGCGTGACGTCGACAGCACTGCGTGCACCATCACGTGATGTGGACGGCGCCAACTCGAATTAAGACGGGGATGGGAGGGGGGCGGGGTACGGGGTACGTGTTTAGCAAACATCCGGCATGTGCGACAAGCGTATAACGACTTCACTCGTGATTCAACGGAGAAGACGGGCAGCGGTGGAAAGGGGAAACACGGTAGGACACAAGGAACGGAGTTTGTAAACCCTGGGGCCTACCCTGCAGCCGACACATTACAGCGCGAACCCGTCTCCCACGTGCTCCCCCCGCTCAGCATCGCTGTCATGAATCCCTACGGCGGTCGCACGACGCCGACCCGTCCACTCCCGCGACAAAAACCCCCGGGGAAATAATTCTGAATTTCGATTTAAAGCTTTCGTGACTGCAGGGATTCATCTTCTTGGTTCTTTCGGTAAAGTCACGTAGAAGGGAAATAATAAAATAATAAAAATAAAACATAATAAAATTGTATTTTATTACCTTTTATTTTTATTATTTGACTTTATCGAAAGAACCAAGAAGAAAAATAATTCTGAGTTTTATTTCCGCACCCTCCCCACCTCAACCCCAACCCACGCGTTGATCGTGATACCCCGACTCGCGGCTGCACTCGGAGATGTGGGGAATCGTCGGTGCGAGGCTCGGGAGAGAAACGTCCGGCCGACACGGGGCTTCCGTCGTCATCACCGCCACCGCCACCACCGCCAGCCGCCGGCAGTCGCAGACACAGGGCGCAGCATCAGAAAGGGGGTGAAAGCGGATCGCCGGTCTCCAGCACCGTGGCCGCCTTTATAGCCTCCGCCCACCTGCGGAGAAGGTGAGAAAACCCGGGAGACAGTCCCGATCGTCAACCTTCGAGACCATCGTCTTTAAAACTATTTAAACTATTTTTATTTTACCAGGCAAGGCTCACCAATTCATAATAAAGGGTTTTGGGTTAGATCGCGTTATTTATAAATGTGTCGTAACCCTCCACCACCCAACATGGCCAAACAGTAAAAAAATGTGCCACGTTTACAAAGGACAAAATAATTCACTTCTTTAGCCCACCGGTGTGTTGAAGAGAGAATCAACAGCATTTAAAATGTGAGTACGACGTTTCGCTGGTAATTACATCCAGCTTCATCGGGCGATTTGCCAGAATGGCGAGGCTCTCCACTTGCTCCCGGTCTTAAATAGAGCAGCAGCAGGGTGACGTCATGATTTAATTCAATAAGGTGCAGTGATTTCAGGCAGGGAGGGTATTGTAATTATATAGATTGGTAATCATTCAATTGTTATTCATTGGTATTTGTTTCCCTCATAAGGAATTGTAATTGTATTATATATTGTATTTATTTAATAATACGCTTCCAGGCCGCACTAAGCCTGTAGCTGTCAGAGTGATTAAAGTTATTTCTGTTTCTCTCAATTTCAATGGATTCTCTAATTAGTCTTGGCCAGTAATAATTAGTTTTACACAACACTTCAACGTTATCAAAATCAATTGAGTGTACTTGTTGACAAGCATGCTCTGCCACTGCCGACAGTTGTGTTTGAGATAATTTAATATTCCTTTGGTGTTGATTCGCTCTTCAACACACCGGTGGGCTAATTATTTTGTCTTTTGTCAACGTGACACATTTTTTACTGTTTGGCCGTGTCGGGTGGGGGAGGGTTACGACACATTTATAAATAATGCGATCTAACCCAAAAACCTTTACTCTTTGGTTCTTTCGGTAAAGTCACGTAGATGAAAAATAAAAATAATAATACAAATAATTAAATGAAAATAACAAAATTTAGTTATTTTCATTTTATGAATTTTTATTTTTTTTATTTTACATTTTTCATCTACGTGACTTTACCGAAAGAACCAAAGAGTATGGATCCTTGCAGTGACGAAAACTTCAAATCTAGAACCAAAAACCTTTATTATGAATAATATTTATCGCGAAAGCCTACGTGTTAAAAAGGCTCACTGAGCTATGTAGCTCTTTTTCAGAAATCACCTGGCCACAAATGATAGCTTAATGAAGTGGAAATTGACAGTTTTCAAATATCTTCTTGGTTCTTTCGGTAAAGTCACGTAGAAGGGAAGTAATAAAATAATAAAAATAAAACATAATAAAATAAAATAATTCTCACGACGTTTCGGCTACAACGCAAGCAGCCGTCTTCAGGTGAAGAATGAAACACTGCCAAGCTAGGAGCTTATGGCAGTGTCTCATTCTTGACCTGAAGACGGCTGCTTGCGTTGTAGCCGAAACGTCGTGAGAATTATTTTATTTTATTTTATTATGTTTTATTTTTATTATTTTATTACTTCCCTTCTACGTGACTTTACCGAAAGAACCCTGCAGTCACGAAAGCTTTAAATCGAAGTTTCCAAATACTCACACGATTCTAAATGGAGGGAAAAACCAGAGGGTCCGGAGAAAAATACAAGCGTCCACGGGGAGAGAGACACACAAACTCCACATATATAGCAAGCGTTAGGGTGGGGATCGAACCCACGACCTCCTGCATACCAGGCGAGGTAGTTAACATCTCCTAGCCACCGTGATGATGATGAGAGACAGAGACACACAAACTCCACATATACAGCAGGCGTTAGGGTGGGGATCGAACCCACGACCTCCTGCATACCAGGCGAGGTAGTTAACATCTCCTAGCCACCGTGATGATGATGAGAGAGAGAGACACGCAAACTCCAAACATACAACAGCAGCAGGCGTCATCGTCGGGATCGAACCCACGACCTCCTGCACACCAGGCGAGGTAGTTAACATCTCCTAGCCAACGTGGTGTTTCAAGCGTGGCTGTAATCCGATTACTTAAGTCATCGATTACTCTACCAATTGTCGATTCGATTTCTCCACTGCCCCTGCCACCTACCCCTCCCCCCCCACCCCTCCCACCCCTCCCACCCCTCCCACGCTGCCCACGCTGCCCACGCCCCGGACCTGAGTGCGGTGGCGCTGTCCTCGGTGCGGAAGGCCCGGAAGAGCGTGGTTTTGTGGAAGAGCTGGAAGCTGCAATCGCGAGCAGTGGGGCCCTGCACGGTGAAGCCCAGCAGAGGCTGGCTCTCCATCGCCACCACGTCCTGGCACGGGGAGACGGAGGATGAGGAGGTGGAAGATTAAGGAAGAGAGTAATGGCGGTAGAGGCAGGGGAGGGAGGGAGGAAGGAAGGGAGGGGTGGAAGGGAGGGAGGGAGGGAGGTAAAAGGGGGAAGGGAGGAGTAAAACATTAAGATGGAAGGGGGTCATGAAGGAATTTGAAAATAAATCTTAGATTGAAAACCAATTTCTTTAGAACTGCTTTTTGTGTTTAGTTTGTTGTCCTCCCCCCGCACCTCCGATTAGCGCCGTCGCCTACGCACGGTGCTTTAAGATGTTCAACATACGCACGTATACATGTACACACGCACACACGTATGTATACAAGCACGCACGCACCTCGCTGGCGGCGTACGTGTACAGGACCTTGTCCTTCACCACGAACCAGAGGCGCCGCCACGGCTTGCGGTTGTCCTTGGAGCGCTGGAGGTAGCCGCTCATCGACGAGCCCTCGGTGCCTGCCACCTGCGGGCACAACACGCGCACGGGCGGGCAGTTGCGACACGCGCACGGGCGGACAGGTGGTTATGACGCGCACGCATGCACGCACATAACGCAGGTACGCACACGCGAGAACGCACACGCAGGCAGGCACACACGTGACACGTACGTGCACGCACAAATGCACGTGTGTGTGTGTGCGCGCTAGTACCGGTTAGCGCTATGCTGCGCGACGAACCTGGGGACCCGGGTTCGAGTCCCGCTCACGGCCAACGCCGGTAACGATGATTTTAACCGGATCTGGGCCTCCCCTAGGTAGACTCAGCCTCAAATGAGTACCTGGTGTGATGTGTAGTAAACATCGGCACTGGGGAGACAAAGGCGGTCGGGCGTGGTGCTGGCCACCCACCCCCTTGTGTACCGTTCCGACCTTCATAGGTACTCGCTAACAGCACCTGCCCCGATTTAAAGCTTTCGTGACTGCAGGGATTCATCTTCTTGGTTCTTTCGGTAAAGTCACGTAGAATGGAAATAATAAAATAATAATCAAACATAATAAAATAATTCTCACGAGGTTTCGGCCACAACGCAAGCAGCCGTCCTTAGGTGAAGACCAGGTCTGTCGAGAAGACAGAATTCGGGTCGACAGACCTGTTCTTCACCTGAGGACGGCTGCTTGCGTTAAGGCCGAAACGTCGTGAGAATTATTTGATTATGTTTAATTTTTATTATTTTATTATTTCCCTTCTACGTGACTTTACCGAAAGAACCAAGAAGAAGCACCTGCCCCGACAGTCTGTTACAGGCTACACGGGGGGATATCCGTTCTTCGTTTGTGCCTCCATCTGTTGGGCAGCGGTTGCCAGCACAGCAGCGCCCTCGCCGGCCGTGCCGGCCCTCAAGAGGCGCTCGCTAACAACGCTCGCTCCAGCGGCCTGTCAACGGCTACCCGGTGGGGCTGGCGCGAGGGGAAGCCCTCGCCTTGCCGTCCCGTCTGGGCGTCTGCGCGGCACGGTGTCCGTCCGTCCGCCTGCGGGATGGGCTGTCTGCACGCGCGGGGCATCCGTCGCAGTCTGCCGTGCGCCAGAGGTCGCAAACGGGTTTTGATTCCTTACCCGTACCTGGCCGCACCAGGGTCGCAACCGGGTACCCGTACCCGTACCCTACCCGATACCCGGCTACCCGTACCCGGCCGGGTATCGGGTAGGGTACGGGTATCGGGTACCCGATTGCGACCTCTGGGATGAAGCCATGTTGCAGGCGCGGGTGGCTTGATTCTAGGAACTTGAATTGTGAGAAGAGACAAGACGTTGGGAAATGAGTGACAAACAGTTACTCACCAGTGACTCACGGCCTACCCGTACCCGTACCCGGCCGCACCAGGGTCGCAAACGGCTACCCGTACCCGGCCGGGTACGGGTAGCCGGGTATCGGGTAGGGTACGGGTATCGGGTACCCGATTGCGACCTCTGCCGTGCGCCTTGCCGGCCTTCACAGGGGCTACGTAGGCTACGTTGGAGCGGGGGGGCGGGCCGAGGGGGGGGGGGCGGGGGTCTGTTGGCACCTGCTGGAGTGCCGCGGGAACCCTCTTGAGTTTGCGTCCGGGCGAGGGGGTGATGCTGTGTAGCACCGACGACAGCGCCCCCCCCGGCGAGCGGCTCTGAGACGGGGGACTCCGCCCCAGCAGCACCGTCTCGTCTGTCCACGCCGCCAGGGAGACAGCGCACGCAGCGGCGTCACTCGCAACAGCCGTGGGGGGAGCACGGGGGGGGGGTGGGGGGTAGAGCGAGGGGGGTGGGGGGTAGAGCGAGGGGAGAGGTAGGAGAGTGCGTGGAGGGGAGTAGAGTGAGATGAGAGGGGAGAGGTAGGAGAGTGCGTGGTGGGGAGTAGAGTGAGATGAGTGGGGAGAGGCAGGAGAGTGCATGGAGGGGAGTAGAGTGAGATGAGAGGGGAGAGGCAGGAGAGTGCGTGGAGGGGAGTAGAGCGAGATGAGAGGGGAGAGGCAGGAGAGTGCGTGGAGGGGAGTAGAGTGAGATGAGAGGGGAGAGGTAGGAGAGTGCGTGGGGGGGGGGGGTAGAGTGAGATGAGAGGGGAGAGGTAGGAGGGCGCGTGGAGGGGAGTAGAGTGAGATGAGAGGGGAGAGGTAGGAGAGTGCGTGGAGGGGAGTAGAGTGAGATGAGAGGGGAGAGGTAGGAGAGTGCGTGGAGGGGAGTAGAGTGAGATGAGAGGGGAGATGTAGGAGAGTGCGTGGAGGGGAGTAGCGTGAGATGAGAGGGGAGAGGTAGGAGAGTGCGTGGAGGGGAGTAGCGTGAGATGATAGGGGAGAGGTAGGAGAGTGCGTGGAGGGGAGTAGAGTGAGATGAGAGGGGAGATGTAGGAGAGTGCGTGGAGGGGAGTAGCGTGAGATGAGAGGGGAGAGGTAGGAGAGTGCGTGGAGGGGAGTAGAGTGAGATGAGAGGGGAGAGGTAGGAGTGTACGTGGAGGGGAGTAGAGTGAGATGAGAGGGGAGATGTAGGAGAGTGCGTGGAGGGGAGTAGCGTGAGATGATAGGGGAGAGGTAGGAGAGTGCGTGGAGGGGAGTAGAGTGTGATGAGAGGGGAGAGGTAGGAGTGTACGTGGAGGGGAGTAGAGTGAGATGAGAGGGGAGAGGTAGGAGAGTGCGTGGAGGGGAGTGGAGTGTGATGAGAGGGGAGAGGTAGGAGTGTACGTGGAGGGGAGTGGAGTGTGATGAGAGGGGAGAGGCAGGAGAGTGCGTGGAGGGGAGTGGAGTGTGATGAGAGGGGAGAGGTAGGAGTGTACGTGGAGGGGAGTAGAGTGAGATGAGAGGGGAGAGGTAGGAGAGTGCGTGGAGGGGAGTAGAGTGAGTTGAGAGGGGAGAGGTAGGAGAGTGCGTGGAGGGGAGTAGAGTGAGATGAGAGGGGAGAGGTAGGAGAGTGCGTGGAGGGGAGTAGAGTGAGATGAGAGGAGAGAGGCAGGAGAGTGCGTGGAGGGGAGTAGAGTGAGATGAGAGGGGTGAGGTAGGAGAGTGCATGGAGGGGGGGAGAGTGAGATGAGAGGGGAGAGGTAGGAGAGTGTGTGGAGGGGAGTAGAGTGAGATGAGAAGGGAGAGGTAGGAGAGTGCGTAGAGGGGAGTAGAGTGAGATGAGAGGGGAGAGGCAGGAGAGCGCGTGGAGGGGAGTAGAGTGAGATGAGAGGGGAGAGGTAGGAGAGTGCATGGAGGGGAGCAGAGTTAGATGAGTGGGGAGAGGCAGGAGAATGCGTGGAAGGGAGTAGAGTGAGATGAGAGGTAGGAGAGTGCGTGGAGGGGAGTAGAGTGAGATGAGAGGGGAGAGGTAGGGACCTTCACCGACCACGTTTGCCGAGCGATGCGTAGCACTGGTCGCACACGCGCTCTGGACGATCCTTGCGGTACTTGAGCGGGTACCGGTGGTAGGAGCAGCCCTGGCAGATGATCTGAACCCCCCCCCCCGCCCCGTGGGAAAACACCGATGGGGTGGGGGTGGTGTGGTGGGTCAGGGGTTGTGGTGGTGGGGGGGGCGGGAGGGGCGAAAGAAATGCGACGAGGGTTACTTATCTCCGCGCCGTTTCCTGCGTAACCGCGGCGCTATCGGCGGGCGCACACACATTGCCAGTTTCATCGAACACCAACGGCGCGTCGGATCCCAGCGGCACGACGCTCCCTCGGTTGTTGGGAGTTTTGTCGGTTTAAACGTCGCCGTTGGGTTATTTTTACGTTCTGTCATGTTGGTTACCTAAGTTCGCTCCTGCAAAGGAGGCCCTCTCCTTACCCCGGGGGGTCTCTTGAGTCTCAAGCTGCTCACACAAGATCAACTCGAACTCAAACTCGCTCGCTTACATCGCTCGCCGTCATCTCGCCGATTCATTTAGCCACTCACACGGTCAGCTCATTCGCTCGCTCATTCACCCAGCGTGGAGAGATGCGTGCTAGGAATTACGCTGAGAGACGGGAAAAGGAACATGTGGATTAGAGAACACGCCCGTGTCAATAATGACCTCATCCTAACTAAGCAAACAGATGTGTGTTTTTGTTAATGTCTTGCAGCAAGTACGTACAGAACAACAAAGACCTACTACCCCTTTGCCTGACCAAAACATACAGAACTCCTACCGAAGCAATGAGGGCAATTCACCAGCAGACTTGCCGATAAACACCCGCTACACTACGTCCACCGACGATCCCTCAAGTGACGTCATACCTCACCGTTACGTAGAGTGACCGGGGCTGGGCGGAATGCGCGATCGACTATAAACAATTTTTTTTTATTTGACCAGGTAAGGCCCACTGAACTACATAGTTATTTTTTCAGGAGTGACCTGGACATCACAAATGACAGCTCAACGAAGCTGCTTATCGTCACGTGGACATTTATAGCAGCCAAGTACTCTAAACGGGTGACGTCGATTCTAAACGTGGAGGGGGAAAAACCGGAGGACCTGGAGAAAAAATCCACGCAACCACGGGGAGAGAGAGAGAGAGAGACGCAATCTCCAAATATACAGCAGGCGTCGTCATGGTCGGGATCGAACCAATGACCTCTGGCAAACCAGTAGTCAACATCTCCTAGTCACTGTAATGAAGAATGAGATAGACACGCAACTCCAAATATACAGCAGGCGTCATCAGGGTCGGGATCAAACCCACGACCTCCTGCAAACCAGGCGAGGTAGTTAACATCTCCTAGCCACCGTGATGACGAATGAGAGCGAGACACGCAACTCCAAATATACAACAGGCATCAGGGTCGGGATCGAACCCACGACCTCCTGCAAAACCAGGCGAGTTAGTTATTATCTCCTAGCCACCGTGATCATGATGAAGAGAGATAGAGACACACAAACTCCAAACATACAGCAGACGTCGTTAGGGTCGGGATCGAACCCACGACCTCCTGCATGCCAGGCGAGGTAGTCAACATCTCCTAGCCACCGTGATGAAGAATGAGAGCGAGACACGCAAACTTCAAACATACAGCAGGCACCAGGGTCGGGATCGAACCCACGACCTCCTGCATGCCAGGCGATGTAGTTAACATCTCCTAGCCACCGTGATGATGATGAAGAGAGACAGAGACACGCAAACTCCAAACATACAGCAGGCGTCATCAGGGTCGGGATCGAACCCACGACCTCCTGCATCTCAGGCGATGTAGTTAACATCTCCTAGCTACCGTGATGATGATGAAGAGAGACAGAGACACGCAAACTCCAAACATACAGCAGGCGTCATCAGAGTCGGGATCGAACCCACGACCTCCTGCATGCCAGGCGATGTAGTTAACATCTCCTAGCCACCGTGATGATGATGAAGAGAGACAGAGACACGCAAACTCAAAATATACAACAGACGTCATCAGGGTCGGGATCAAACCCACGACCTCCTGCAAATCAGGCGATGTAGTTAACATCTCCTAGCCACCGTGGCGCCGTGAGGGACGTCGCGAATCACCTTGCCGCAGGCTCGGCAGTGGTGCCTACGCCAGGTGAGCGTGAAGTCGCAGGTGCAGATCATGCACATGGTGACGCGCGAGTCGGGGATCCAGATGGGAGCCTTGTGTCCCAGCTGGGACTCGGAGCGCTGGAACGTGTCCATCTGCAGGGGGCGGCGGGGCCGCGGGAAGGACGGGGGGGGGGGGCGTGGGGCAGGGAGGGGTGGGAACGCGCAAGTTCAAAGTTCAAGTTTATTTGGGGTTTCTAATAATAATTTTGAATTGTTGGGATTTGTAACGCGCCCAGTTTGCGGTCACTCTGGGAGACCGCGATTCTTATTTTTGGATGTTCGGGGGAATGACGAACACCGAAGGCACAGAGGGGCTGAGTGAACATCGCCACGGACGATGCGAAACTGCCGATCTGTAGGGACCAGAAGAAGTGCAATTTAGGGAAATGGCTTATCCAGCCATTGTCGCATCTTCAAGGCCCTGGTTTCTCCCAGGATTTGGCTGGAATTCCGCTACGCTCGGTTGACGGGGGTGGTGGTTCCATCCTTTTTGATGCGTTGGGCTACAGAGGGTGACCTCCGTTTAACTGACAGAAGGAGATTTGTTGACGGGTCTTTTTTGAGGGTGTGTTTTTTTGCTGTGTCAGTACGGTACAACACACCGTGGCATGTATGTCACACGGGAAAAGGTGTCAATATGTTGAATAACAAAAAAGAGACGCCATGCCACAAAAGACAACACAACTGGCGATGGGACGGTGGTGTTACAGCAATAACGCGGTGATGGTAACGTCCACGGAAGGGCGGTGGTGACATATTTTCATTTTTATTATTATTATAATACTCCTAATAAGAAGTTCGCTCGTTTCTCAGTCCGCTTGTCCTGGTGAGGGTCGCGGCGGCGGCAGCGTGTCGAGTAGTGATGGTCCAGATCTCCCTTTCCCTGGCAACAAACTCCAACACTACTACACTATACACTACACTACAATACACTGCTGTACACTACACTGCTGTACACTACACTGCTATACACTACACTGCTATACACTACACTGCTATACACTACACTGCTATACACTACACTGCTATACACTACACTGCTATACACTACACTGCTATACACTACACTGCTATACACTACACTGCTATACACTACACTGCTATACACTACACTGCTATACACTACACTGCTATACACTACACTGCTATACACTACACTTTACTCCCGCTCTTCTCTCTCCCCCCCTACTGCCGAGGCCTACGATACACTACACTATACACTACTATATAACCTCGTGCCACGGCAGGTCTCTCGCCTACTTCAGCAGTTTTTTTCTTGCCGTGGTTGTACCACCTGATGACGATTGCTTGTGTTGCGATTTACACTACACTGTACACTACACACAAATACATTGCTATACATTACTATACTGCTATACACTACACTACTATACTATACACTACACACAAATACACTGCTATACATTACTATACACTACACTATACTGCTATACACTACACTACTATAATATACACTACACTATACACAAATACACTACAGTATACACTACACACTACGCTACTATACACTACACTATACACTACTATGCACTACACTATACACTACTATGCACTACACTATACACTACTACACACTACGCTACACTATACACAACTACACTACACTATACACTACTACACACAGACTCTAGCTCTTCCTGGGGAATGCCCAGGCGTTCCCAGGCCAGCCGAGCGACATCGTCCCGCCACCAGCAGCGTGTCCTGGGCCGGCCCCGGGGCCTTCGTCCAGTGGGACGTGCTGCTGCCCGGTAGAGTTCCCGGGGCAGTCTACCCGGGGCATCTAATACCAAGTCATATTCATAATTATTTCCCTTTTTTTTTATCCAAGAAAGTCACACTGAGTAGTAGGGCCCTTTCTCAGGGGGGGGTCCTGGCATTGGGTTTTCATTTCAAGACGAGTTCTTTATTTTTATCATCATTATTATTATTATTAATCACGTGAGTGGAATGAAATCAGGGCGCGCCGATTAAAAAAGCCCACGCCTTGCGAGAGGGGACAACGCTCAATCCCCATACAGACGGAAACAGATGGCGATTCATCCACTCGCTGTAGCGCCTCCTGCTGGCGAGCTCAGGGTCAGGCACCGCCTCCTCGACACCCACTGGACGGGAATTTCGCAACAACGTCTGTGTATGCGGTGATCCACCAACCTCCCTCTCTGCTGCTGCTGCCTCCGCAGCGCTGGATCACTACAGGGAGCCACGTGCAGCGGCGTAGCCACCACCACCACCACTGCCACCACTGCCACCACCACCACTGCCGCCGTCACCACCACTGCCACCACCACCGCCGCCGCCACCACCGCCGCCGCCGCCGCCGCCGCCGCCGCCACCACCACCACCACCGCCACCACCACCGCCGTCACCACCACCACCACTGCCACCACCACCACCGCCACCACCACCACCACCACCACTGCCATCGCTGCCACCACCACCACCGCCACCACCACCGCCACCACCACCACCACCGCCACCACCACCGCCACCACCACCACCGCCACCACCACCACTGCCACCACCACCACTGCCACCACCACCACCACTGCCACCACCACCACCACCACTACCACCGCCACCACCACTGCCACCGCCACCACCACTACCACCACCACCACTGCCACCAAAGGCAAAGACACCCCCCCCCCCGTGTAGCCTTAAGAGACTGTTGGGGCAAGTGCTGTGATCACGTAGCACCTATGGAGGCCAGCACGGCACACGAGGGGGTGGGTTGCCAGCACCACGCCCGGCCGCCTTTGTCTCATTTGAGGCTGAGTCGACCTAGGGGAAGAGGCCCCGGACCGGTTCAGACATCGTCAGTGGTGTTGGCCGTGAGCAGGAATCGAACTCGGGGTCGCCGGGTTCGTTGAAAAGCGCGCCAACTCGCTTCACTCGCCACCACCACCGCTGCCGCCACCACTGCCACCACCGCCACCCGGCTAAGACTCACCTGGCCGCTGCCGCCGTCACCGCTACCGTCACCACCGTCACCACCGGCGCCTCCGCACGTGTGGGTGAAGGAGATGCGCTTGCGTGTGTAGTCGTCGATGGCGCGGGAGATCGCCAGCAGCCACTCGTCCCGCTCGCTCGCCGAGCTTGACGGAGGGGGGGGGTGGTGGGGGGGGGGGTCACAGGGAGATCGTCAGCCCACGTCCGTCACGAGCACCGGGAGATCCGGCACAGGGCACCGGCGATTCGTTCGGCGGAGGCACCGGGTGAGCGCACACGTCGGTGAATCGGTACAAACGTCAGCGCCGGATGGGCCGCGTCTCTCGTTCATCTTCCCGCCTACATCCCTCTCATCTCACTCCATCTGTCTCTCTCTCTAGCCTCCATCTCTTGTGTAATCTCACTTGGAGTTTATAAATGAAACTCGCCTTTTGCCCGTCCAAGGACCGGGTGTATTGCAGTAAATCTGAAACTTGCAAGGAAAAAGCAGACCGCGACGTGATATTCATTGCATCAATTCGTGTGCAATTTGTAAGGGCGCGGTGACACAGACCCATTTCATTTTAAGGTTATAATCCCTCGTTTATCATGACGTCCTTTTTACTTCGATGTCTACAACAGCGTCACGGAGATCGCGTGACGACGTGAGGGTTCTGCCTTTGTAGTGAGGGTTGTGAGTTGACCCCGAGGAGGGGGGAGGAGGCGCCTCGGCCCCCCATGTGGAGTGACGTCACCCGCTAATTATTATTAATGGAAGGGGGGGGGGGTGTCCGTTTGGGGAACGTCACCTGCTTATGATAATTAATGAGGGGGGCTGTTCAATGTTGAGTGACGTCACCCGCTCATGATTATTAATTAGGGGTGGGTGTCCATTTGGAGGACGTCACCTGCTCATGATTATTAATGCGGGGGGCTGGTCGATGTGGAGTGACGTCACGAGCGTTAAGGACATTCCTGGGTGATTATGGGTGGGTGGGGGCTTAGGAATTCCGCGGTGAGAAGTTCGCGACTTTGTGGTGCGTGGAGGAAAACCACCACCACCACCACCACCACCGCGTTCTGAGGCTCCGCGCAGATGGATGTAAGAATCTGTCGCTGCACTGCCATCTACTGGATGAAGCGTTACAGTTTTTGTAGGAATCCACAAAAACCCGCAACACACAACACACGACAAAAAGGCACGCACAAGAGTGCGCGGTAACGCTCAAGGCTCTGCACGGATGGATTCGATAATCCGTGGCCATCTTAGCGCCTCGTGGCCACCTCGCCGCCTCTCGTCCCAGAACTCGCCCCAGGCCTCGACCTCGACTCACCTTCTGAAACAGTAAAAGTCGGCCGCAAAGTCCTTCCACGTCTTCGCTTTACCACTCGCACTCCTCCGGACGCGACATTTAAAACTAAACTATTTTTTTTTGGCACCTAAGCTCCACCGAGCTATGCCGCTCTTCTTTCAGAAGGGACCTGGGCCACACAACGAAGCGGCGTATCGTCGTCGTCGTCGTTGTGAGAGAGACGCAGACTCTAAATACACAGCAGCAGGCGTCGTCTGGGTCGGGGTCAAACCCACGACCTCCTGTATACCAGACGAGGTAGTTAACATCTCCTAGCCACCGTGATGATGATGAGGGTGAGAGAGACATGCAAACCCCTAATATCCAGGCGTTGTCAGGGTCGTGATCTACCCCACGACCTCCTGTGTACCAGACGAGGTAGTTAACATCTCCTAGCCACCATGATGATGAGGGTGAGAGAGACACGCAAACTCCTAATATCCAGGCGTTGTCAGGGTCGTGATCGACCCCACGACCTCCTGTATACCAGACGAGGTAGTTAACATCTTCTAGCCACCGTGAGGATGATGAGGGCGAGAGAGACACGCAAACTCATAATATCCAGGCGTTGTCAGGGTCGTGTTTGACCCCACGACCTCCTGTATACCAGGCGAGGTAGTTAACATCTCCTAGCCACCGTGGTGATGATAAGAGAGGGAGACATGCAAACTCCTAATATCCAGGCGTTGTCAGGGTCGTGATCGACCCCACGACCTCCTGTATACCAGGCGAGGTAGTCACCACGGCGCGCGTGCAGAACCACAATGGACATAAATCTCAATTTGGTAAACGCGCTGCCGCCGTCGCCTTCGCGACCGAACCATTCCGGTGTTCGCCGCGGTCTCTCGTCGCCGCCCCCCCCCCCACCTCCCCGCGTCTCGAGGCCACAAAAGGAGCTTTGTGTCTCTTTAGCCGTTCAGCTGCCACACCTGGGTTCAATAAGGGACCACGGCGGCTTCCTCGCGCCTCGGCATTCCTCATCCCTCTCGCTTTCGCTCTCTTTCTCCCTCGGACGAAGCTAAAATGCGAAACATTCCGCTCTTGCGTTTGCCAGAGATACGCTCAGGAGCAAAGTAGCACGGCGAGAGGGCTTCGGCAGGGAGAGAGTTCGTGTCATGTTTCTGTTCCTCCTCCTCCGTTGTAGGAATGCAGACCACAGTGGCTTTACTGTAGACTAACACTGGACCCCTCGACTAACACTGGACCCATAGACTAACACAGGACCCATAGACTAACGCTGGACCTATAGAGTAACACTGGACCCATAGAGTAACACTGGACCCATAGAGTAACACTGGACCCATAGACTAACGCTGGACCCATAGACTAACACTGGACCCATAAACTAACACTGGACCCATAGACTAAGACTGGACCCATAGAGTAACACTGGACCCATAGACTAACACTGGACCCATAGAGTAACACTGGACCCATAGACTAACGCTGGACCCATAGAGTAACACTGGACCCATAGAGTAACACTGGACCCATAGACTAACACTGGACCCATAGACTAACACTGGACCCATAGACTAACACCGGACCCATAGAGTAACACTGGACCCATAGACTAACACTGGACCCATAGAGTAACACTGGACCCATAGACTAACACTGGACCCATAGACTAACACTTGACCCATAGACTAACACCGGACCCATAGAGTAACACCGGACCCATAGACTAACACTGGACCCATAGACTAACACTGGACCCATAGAGTAACACTGGACCCATAGACTAACACTGGACCCATAGACTAACACTGGACCCATAGACTAACACCGGACCCATAGAGTAACACTGGACCCATAGAGTAACACTGGACCCATAGACTAACACTGGACCCATAGACTAACACTGGACCCATAGACTAACACTGGACCCATAGACTAAGACTGGACCCATAGACTAACACTGGACCCATAGACTAACACCGGACCCATACACTAACACCGGACCCATAGACTAACACCGGACCCATAGACTAACACTGGACCCATAGACTAACACTGGACCCATAGACTAAGACTGGACCCATAGACTCACACTGGACCCATAAACTAACACTGGACCCATAGACTAACACTGGACCCATAGACTAAGACTGGACCCATAGACTAACACTGGACCCATAGACTCACACTGGACCCATAGACTAACACCGGACCCATAGACTAACACCGGACCCATAGACTAATGCTGGACCCGTAGACTAACACTGGACCCATAAACTAACACTGGACCCATAGACTAACACCGGACCCATAGACTAACACTGGACCCATAGACTAACACCGGACCCATAGACTAACACTGGACCCGTAGACTAACACTGGACCCATAGACTAACACTGGACCCATAGACTAACACTGGACCCACAGACTAACACTGGACCCATAGACTAGCACTGGACCCATAGACTAACACTAGACCCATAGACTAACACTGGACCCGTAGACTAACACTGGACCCGTAGACTAACACTGGACCCGTAGACTAACACTGGACCCGTAGACTAACACTGGACCCATAGACTAACACTGAACCCATAGACTAACATAGGACCCGTAGACTATGTTATTCTTGCCGTGTGGCAGCGTTGTAGTTCAGGAGCTAAGTGCCAATGTCGAGGTCTGCTGCAGCTGTCACGACGAGAGGGCTTCAGCAGAGAGAGAGAGTTCGTGTCGCTGTTCCTCCTCCTCCTCTGCTGAAGGAGCTCAGACCACAGTGGGTCTACTGTGCGGTCCATAGTGTGGGTCTCCGAGTCGTTATGTCTTTATGTGTGTCTGTATTGGTTCACTATATGGGGTCCACAGCTTTGGTTGCATGGCCACAACCACACTAAATGTTGGATGTGTCTTCAATGTCCCATCGATGAAGGAGATTCGCGCATTGGCCCGCTGTTGGATGTTCTCCTGATGCGGTCGATGGGTTCCACCGGGAGGAATTTCAAAGCCGCGAGGTGATGACGTTTGGGTCTCGAATGAGGAGGCGTTTACGATTGCGGACGTCCGCGCTGTTCCACTCTGTTCGCCAGCGATCTCCCGGGCCTGGGTGGCAGCAGCAGCGGCGGTGGCGGCGGCGGTGCGATCCCAGAAGGGTTGGCGGAGGATCTTGAGTCGGCTGCGGCAGCAGCAGGCCGACCGCGTCGAGAGCGCGGCGTGTTCACCGTTGTGGCCGGGTCGCCCACCCGCAGGAGCGGAGTACACCCCCACCGTGCGGCGGTGCCCCCCGGCGCTCGCGGCACCTCCCGGCGCTTGCGGCACCCGCAAGGGGCCCCAAGCGGCCCCCACGGGGCCCACGACACAACGAGGAACGGCCGCGGGCCGCTCGCGCGTTTTGCGCCGCGTCCGCGATTCGCGCCGGCAAGCTCCGTCTCTAAGTCCAGGGACGCGGGGGGCGTGGGAGGGGGGGGTGGCCACTCTCTGCGGGGGCGGACAGCAGCTGTGCTGTGCGCACGTGGGGGTCACGCACTGCCAGCACACACGCGGTTTCCTCATTAGCGATGCCGCCCCCCCCCAACCTCGCCCTCCCCCCGTCGTGATTTTATTTTCATTTGGTCATCTTTCTGCTCGTAACGCGGGAGCCGCATCCGTAGCTCATTGCGATGCCGATGCAATATCCGTCTGTCTGCCCGCCCGCCCGACCCTTTCCTTCTGTCCGTCCGTGTGTCAGTCAGTCTGCCTGTCTGCCTGTCTGCCTGTCTGTCTGCCTGTCTGTCTGACTGCCTGTCTGCCTGTCTGCCTGTCCATCTGTTTTTCCATTTGTCACCCTGTCTGACTGTCCATGTGCCTTTCTGTCCATTCATCTGTCTGTTCATAAGTCCGTCCGTATGTATGTCTGTTTGCCTGCCTGTCTCTCCATAGGTCTGTCCGTCTGGTGGTAAATACAAGAAAAGAAAAAAACAAACATCGTCTTATTAATAATAAAAATAATAAAATAACGTAACATTATACCCGCGTCCCGGCGCAGAGGTTACAACGCGAGTTGGGAGCGTGCGAGTTGGAACGCGTTCGTGCGTGCGTCCGTGGGTGTGCGTGCAGTGAAATCCCCAGACTTACACAACAGAGGCTCACTTATAGAACGGAGTGGACAGCTTGTGTGCGTGCGTTTTTTTTTGTTTTCACGTTCTCAGAGAGATCCATTTTCACGATTAAAAAAAAAAGTACGTAATGTCGGGCCAGACAAAGGAAGAGGACGCGTCCCAAAGACCACGACCGCCACGGAGATGGATAGATCGGATGGATCGGTTTTCTGTGCATTGGTTTGATGGAGCGGTAGCAACACCGGCACCGTTACGGGCGATGACGGTTCATCCAGCAGTGTATAGATGCTGATTATTATAAAATAAATAATAACACTCACAATGACCGCATCAAAAAAAGACAAAGATCCCTCGTGTAGCCTCAACAGACTGTCGGGGCAAGTGCTGTTAGCGAGTAGCACCTATGAAGGCCGGCACGGCACACGGGTGGGTGGGTGACCAGCACCACGCCCGGCCGCCTTTGTCTCCCCAGTGCGGATGTTTACACACCACACCAGGTACTTATTTGAGGCTGAATGACCACCTCTTACACACACACACACCGAGGCTCGCTCAATGTCCTGACCTTCCAGCTTGCCGTTTGCTCGACAAGTGCTTTAAGTTTCAGTCAAAATCTCTCCCCTTTGCAAGAGTTTTGTTTAAACTTGTTGAGTTGAAAATAAATTGCCAGGCATGACTGGCCCATGCACGCGCATACACACACACACGCACACATGCACGCACACACAAAAACGCGCACACACACGCGCATGCACGCGCACACAAGCACGCACGCGTGCACACACACACATGCACGCACACACACGCACGTGCATGCACGCGCACGCAAGCACGCACGCAAGCACGCACGCAAGCACGCACGCATGCACACACACGCACACACACGTGTGCGAGCTTTCCGTTGGGAAACATTCCTGGGTCGGCGTGCAGCACGCAGCTCCCGATTGGTCGACTTCCTTCCATCGGCACAAACGGACCGAGTGGCAGCCACGGGGCGTCCAATACCAACAACCTTTCGTGCGCCAGATCTAACTCTCGCTCGCTCTCTCTTGCTCTCTCTCTCGCTCTCTCTCTCTCTCGCTCTCTCTCTCGCTCTCTCGCTCTCTCACGCTCTCTCTCTCTCTAGCTTGCCCTCACGCCTTCTCCCGGCTTCGTGGAAAACGTGACGACCGCACCGGCGGCGGAGACGCCAGCGTGGCACGGTAGGCCTCGCTCTCGAGTAGCCGAGCAAAGTTCAGGAGGTCATCAGACAACGATGATGATCATCATCATCGTTTTAAATCGTCGAGATTGAAAACTCATTTCTTTCAAACTGCCCTTTGTGTTTAGTTTGTTGTCCTTCCCCCACACCTCTGATTAACACGGTTGGCTACGTACGGTGCAAAATAAGTTCAACATACACGCGTGCATACATGATGCCAGGTCATTAGATAATTATGATGAATGATAATTGACAATGGTATTGATGATGCCATTAGGTCATGACATAAGCACGTTGATAATATTAATGATGTCGATAATGGCCAGGAGGCCATCAGAAAATGCTGTTAATGATGCCAGAGGTCAGAGAAAATCATGTTGATGATAGTGATGATTCCAGGAGATCATGAAATAATGATGATGATGGTCTTGATGATGATGATGAGGATGCCAAGTTCAAGTTGATGTTGTGTGGCCAGGGTGAGGACACAAGAGACCACGATGAGACTCGCCCCCCTCCAAGGACAGCAACTGTCCTGCTGTGTCACCCAGACTGTCACTGTGTGTCACCCAGACTGTCACTGTGTGTCACCCAGACTGTCACACTGTGTCACCCAGACTGTCCTGCTGTGTCACCCAGACTGTCACTGTGTCACCCAGACTGTCCCTCTGTGTCACCCAGACTGTCACTCTGTGTCACCCAGACTGTCACTCTGTGTCACCCAGACTGTCCTGCTGTGTTACCCAGACTGTCCTGCTGTGTCACCCAGACTGTCACTGTGTCACCCAGACTGTCCCTCTGTGTCACCCAGATTGTCACTGTGTGTCACCCAGACTGTCACTGTGTGTCACCCAGACTGTCCCGCTGGGTCCATCCGCAACTCGCCCATCACACCGAGACCCGAGTTTGGGGGGAGGGGCCGTAGGGGACGTGGGGGGGGGGGAGGCCGTGTGGTCACTTGGCCCCCACCCTCCCTCTGCCAACCCAAACAGGATCGCGGGCGGACGAGGAAGGAAGCGATGCCCTCACCTGGCGGAGAGGATGAAGGACCGCTCCACGCTCACGATGATGAGCTCGTTCTGGTAGGCCTCCTGCGACGGCTTGCTCACCTGTGCGTGCACAGTACACAAAGACCAAGGCAGGAAGAACGTTGAGATTTATAAGGGCACAAGGTGATCAATACGGTCTGAATTGGTCCGTAATAAGGTAAGGCACTGATAAGGGGTTGACAGGTATGTTAGACACGACACAAATATACACTACACTATACACTACACTACACTATACACTACACTACTATACACTACACTACTATACACTACACTATACACTACACACTGCACTACTATACACTACACTATACACTACACATTGCACCACTATACACTACACTATACACTACACACTGCACCACTATACACTACACTACACACTGCACTACTATACACTACACTACTATACACTACACACTGCACTACTATACACTACACTATTAAACTATACCTGATAATTGGTTCTTTACCCTTCTATCTGGCAACAAAACTGACACCTTTTTGCAAGGAGTCATGTTTGCATAGACCGCAATACCTGCAGTCATAATACAAACAAAAGAACATAACTCTGATAATGTGCACTGTCCTTGAAGTTGATTGGTCCACACCCGAGACAGCTTTCCTTCGAGCCTAGTCTCATATGGGTTGGACCAGATGACGCCAAAAGGCGCCTTTTGGCATCATCTGGTCCAACCCATATGAGACTAGGCTCGAAGGAAAGCTGTCTCGGGTGTGGACCAATCAACTTCAAGGACAGTGCACATTATCAGAGTTATGTTCTTTTGTTTGTATTATGACTGCAGGTATTGCGGTCTATGCAAACATGACTCCTTGCAAAAAGGTGTCAGTTTTGTTGCCAGATAGAAGGGTAAAGAACCAATTATCATATTTTTACTGGCAAATGAGGTCCCCATAGTGTAAACTATACCTGTCAACCCATATAGTTTATTCCCATACTTTTGTACAGGGAAACTGAGATTTCAGGTCCACATGGCGTACAGCCGTTTCAATACGGGCACAAACATTTTTGTTTGCCTATTTGTTAGTGTTTCTTCCTCGTGATGGGACTCTGCAGGATGAACGTTGAGATGTATAAGGGCCACGGGGTGACCAACAAGGCCTGAATTGGTCCGTAACAAGGCAAAGGCCTTGTTACGGCAACACCACCAACAACGACGACGACTCCCCGTGACGTACCTTCATGCCCGCGAGCGACAGCATGTTGTTCAGCTTGTAGGTGCCTCCTTGCTGCGGCGTGGTGTACAGCAGAGTGTCGTTCATCTGTGGCCACGGGGCACGGGGAGGTAGTGAGAGTGGGGGGGGGATAACAGCGCAGGTTGAGAGCGTTGCGTGCGTTGGGTCCGTCCGTAGCGTGGGGTCAGGGACGGCACTCGTGGGCAAGATCCGATGCGGTGAGATCAACGTCGGTTGTGCCACTCGCACGATACAGAACCGGGCAGATTGATCAGAGGGTTGGTCAGAACTTGGCGGTGAATTCCAGCGGCATTCGGATATGCCATGGTGGCCAATGTTATGATGTCAGCTACCCATTCCAGCTACACACACCTACCCACTCACTCACCCGTCTACTTACCTATCCAACAACACAGCTACCTACCCAGATACCCATCTCCAAACCAGGCTAACCCACCCAATCAACCAGCTACCCATGCAACTACCCACCCAGCTACCCAGACACCTACGCAGCTACGCACCCATCTACTCAACTACCCACCCAGCTACTCACCCACCCAGCTACCCAGCCACCAAAACAGCTACCCACCCAATCAACCAGTTACCCATGCAACTACCCACCCAGGTACCCACCCATCTACCCACCCACCAAGCTACCCAGCCACCTATTCAGCTACCCACCCAGCCACCAGCCACCAGCCCACTCAACTACCCACCCACCCAGCTACCCAGATATCCACCCACCCAGATATCCACCCACCCATCTACCTACCCAGCTACCCAGCCACCCACCCAGATACCCACCCACCCATCTACCTACCCAGCTACCCAGCCACCCACCCAGCTACCCACCCACCCATCTACCTACCCAGCTACCCAGCCACCCACCCAGATACCCACCCACCCATCTACCTACCCAGCTACCCAGCCACCCACCCAGCTACCCACCCACCCATCTACCTACCTAGCTACCCAGCCACCCACCCAGCTACACAGCTACCCACCCATCTACCTACCCAGCTACCCAGCCACCCACCCAGCTACCCACCCACTCATCTACCTATCCAGCTACCCAGCCACCCACCCAGCTACCCACCCACGTATGTTTTCTAGTAACCCGTGAGCGTGCTCTCGAACCCTCCGAGCGCCGGCTGTGCCACAGCCTCCCGATCCGCGGCAGCGTTTCCGCTCCGCGCGCGGCAGTCGCGGCACGGCACATTCCAGGGTCCCCCCCCACCCCCCCTACCCCCCCCCCCCCGTGTGCCTCCCAGCGTCCCCACTGACCCACATTTGCAGCTGTTGCTCCACACCGCCGTGCCACGTGTGTTTCCGCACAATGCTGCTGCTGCTGCAATGTGTTCAACTACGGTGGAACAGAGTCCGAGACTTGGCCACCACCACCACCACCAGCAGCAGCAGCGCGAGCAGCAGCCGTGATCGATCCACTGCCAGATGGAGGCCTTCCACCTCAAGCCGTTTGCGTCCCTCGGGGGCCCTGCGGCCGAGAGACTCGCGCCGCCTCTTAGCTCGTCTCGACGACGCCGGCGCAACGCGGCACGGGCCCCCGATATCCGCCGCTCCATCTCCGCGGTAGACGTAACCCCACCCCCCCCACCACCACCACCGCCGCCACCGCCACCACCGCCACCACCCGCCTTGCCTTGGCTGCCCCCGTGCTCGCTCCGAGCTGCATCTGGCTCACGGTTGCCCAGCGAATGCGTAACGAGGTCGCGCCCGGTCGCACGCACAAGTGCTCGCCGCAAATGAACCTCAATAGACCTCGCCGATCTGGTCAAGCGGCGTCAACCGTCGTCACGCCAACTCCGGCCGCCACCCTCACAGCGGCAGCGGCGGCGGCTTTCGGCAGCTCGCAGTCGAACACAGATGGCGGCGGTTACCGCGGCGTCGCGCGGCGCTTTCAGGTGCGCTGCTTCTGGGGCCGTCTGGAACGCTCTTCCTTCCGATGTTAGGAAGCCCCTGGGAGCTGTGCAACTTTTAAATCATCATCGTCTAGATTTGAAGTTTTCAAGAGCAAGGCATTTTGCCTTGCTCCTAATCCCTCTAGCAGCGCTCCACTTCCCCTACCCCACACACCCCCCTCTCTATCTCTCCTCCCTGGCTCCTCCCCCCCTCTCTTACCTATAAAGCCTCTTGTTACAGCAGCCCCTTTTGCTCACTTCAGCAATTGTTTCTTGCTGTGGTTGTCCCACCTGATGACGGATGCTTGTGTTGCGCCCGAAACGTCGTGATTTAATTTATTTTATACCTACGAAACTTTACCGAAAGAACCAAAGAGTATCTTTTAAATCATCATCTAGGTTAACAAACTCACTTCTTTAGAGACGCTTTTTGTGTTTAGTTTGTTGTCCTTCCCCCGTAACCTCCGATTTTCACGGTTGGCTACGTACGGTGCGAAAGAAGTTCATCGTACGTACAGTGAAACCTTGGATTGCGAGTAACTTGGTCTGCGAGTGTTTTGCAAGATGAGCAATTTTTTAAAATAAATACACTGGTCAACAAAAAATTATAATTTTTTTTCTGGCTTGGACTTTTCCAGCTGTTTTAGACTAATTTCAGGGTGCCGATTCCAAATCTGATCTCAGATTTGCTCTATCACATCTCATTTTATGCTATCGGCATACCCCATTTTCATTGATTTTACCCGAAATTAACTCTGTCACTTATGATTGCAAGTTGTTGTGAGTCAGTGACTGCTTTAGTGTTAAAATATGGTGCTGTATTTTTAGGATAGTGTGTCTATAATATAATTTTATGTAGATATCCACATTTATTTAATATTTTTCTTCTGCAGTTTTTATTGAAAATGCAATATTTGATATCTTAAAAACCTGATATGATAGACAGCACCCCAAAATTACCTTAAAACCGTTGGAATACCTTATGCCAGAAAAAGTGTGTTGACCAGTGTAATAATTTGATGAACGAGCGATGTCTTGCAATACGAGCAGTACGTACAGTATACGCTTTGTCTGCCGAGCGTCACGTGATCACAACTGAGCCGATGGTTCTCTCTCTCTTTCTCGCTGCGGGATTGTGGGTAATCATCTCCCATGCTCGGTCTCAGTCGGCGTATACTGTTTACTATAGTACTGTATAGTGTTGTGACCACGAGTCTGTGCGTAAAGCGTTGTTTTATTTTGTGTCCAAGTGTAGTGACTGTTCTTTAGTAACTGTACTGCAAGTGAAAGTCGTCCTCCACAATAACCCTCCTCCTCTCCTCTCTCTCGTCTCCCTCACACCAGCCACGATTAAATGTAATTAATAAATGTGATTACTTTATATTAAATAAAAATAATAAAAATATAAAAAGCTATTATGTATTAATCATTTTTATATGAACACAATATTATTGGGTTGCGGAACGAATCATCTGAGTTCGCCATTATTTCTTACGGGGAAATTCGCTTTGATACACGAGTGCTTTGGATTACAAGCACATTTCCGAAACGGATTCTGCTCGCAATCCAAGGTTTCACTGTACGTGCATTGCTTGCTGTTCTTTCCCCGCACCTCTGGTTTGCACGGTCGGGAGATAGGTACATAGGTAAGTAGGTAGGGTATGTCGGTGGGTAGACAGACAGATGCGTAGATATGTAGGTAGGTATAGAAGTATGATAATTGGTTGTTTACCCTTCTAACTGGCAACAAAACTGACACCTTTTTACAAGGAGTCATGTTTGCATAGACCGCAATACCTGCAGTCATAATGCAAACAAAGACATAACTCTGATAATGTGCACTGTCCTTGAAGTTGATTGGTCCACACCCGAGACAGCTTTCCTTAGAGCCTAGTCTCACATGGGTTGCGCTTTTTGGCGTCATCTGGTCCAACCCATGTGAGACTAGGCTCTAAGGAAAGCTGTCTCGGGTGTGGACCAATCAACTTCAAGGACAGTGCACATTATCAGAGTTATGTCTTTGTTTGCATTATGACTGCAGGTATTGCGGTCTATGCAAACATGACTCCTTGTAAAAAGGTGTCAGTTTTGTTGCCAGATAGAAGGGTAAACAACCAATTATCATATTTTTACTGGCAAATGAGGTTCCCATAAGGTATAGAAGTACTGAAGGTAGTCATGCATGTGGCTATTTAGGTAGGTTCATAAGTAGCTAGATCAATCAGTGGCTCGCTAGGTGTGTAGATAAGCAAGTTGGTTCCGTGATGACGTTGTCCTGCTGCTGCTGCTTCTATTTAAGACCGCAAGCAGCTGGATGGCTTCACTATTCTGGCAAATCTCCCGTTGATGATGCCGGTTGATGTAATTACCAGCGAAACGTCGTACTACTCAGATTGTAAATGTTGTGGATTTACTCTCCAACACACCGGTGGGCTGAAGTGGTCACTAATCGGCACGTTTTGTTCGCGTGACAAATCTCTTACTGGCCGTGCCGGGCGGTGGAGGGTCACGACAACAACATTTACACTCGCAGCGATCTAAACAATAAAACCTTCATCGCGAATAATGTTGAGCTGATTGGTCAGAGACACGGCGAGGAGGGAGCTGAGCGGTCAGAGACACGGCGGGGAGGGAGCTGAGCGGTCAGAGACACGGCAGGGAGGGAGCTGAGCGGTCAGAGACACGGTGAGGAGGGAGCAGAGACACGGCAAGCGAGCGATGCGGCAAGAAGGGAGGCTGGCAGAGAGGCAGGAAGGGAGGCACGGGGTGGAAGGGAAGTGGAGAGAGGTAAAGAGGGGAGGTGTGGAGAGGGGGTGCGGATAGTGGGGGAGAGATGGGGAGGAGAGGGGGTACGGAGAGGGGGTGTGCGGAGAGGGGCCCTGATGAGGGAGTGAGGAGGGGGGTCAGAAGGTGGGTCAGGAGGGAGGGTTGAGGTGAGGAGGTGGGGTGCGTCTGCGCTCCGTACCAGGTAGAACACGCGGGGCTGCATCACTTTGCGTGAGAGCTTCATGAGCGTCCCCTCCTTGAGGAAGACCTGTGCAGAGCAGCAGGCGGTGGCCCCGCGGGACGGGGGGGGGGGGGGGTCACGCGGGGGCAGCGGCAGGCGTCAGACGCAGCTACGCGGCGGGGCGAGCGACCCCCGTGCGACCCGGCGCTCGGGGTGAAGCTGCCGCTGACGCGTCGAGCGGCGGCGCACAAACTAACAACAACGACAACAAACTCGACGCTCGCGTCGATAACGGCGCCGCGGCCTTAAAAGGAAAAAAATTGGTGTGTTTTTTTTTAACAGGCGACGTTTCGGGCGATGGTCCTAACTTATGAAAAATAAAGAGCCCGGAGGGATAGAGGGTGGGTGTGCAAGTGGGTGAGTGGGTGGGTGAGTGTGCAAGTGGATGAGTGGGTGGGTGAGTGAGCGGGTGAATGAGTGAGTGGGTGAGTGAATAAGTGAGTGAGTGGGTGAGTGAGTGAGCAAGTGAGTAAGTGAGTTGGCGAGTGAGCAGGTGGGTGAGTGGATTGGTGAGTGGGCGAGTGAGCAAGTAGGTGAGTGAGTGAGTGGGTGGGTGAGTGAGTGGCTGAGTAAGCAAGTGGGTGAGTGGGTGGGCGAGTGAGCAAATGGGTGAGTGGGTGGGTGAGTGAGTGGGTGAATGAGTAAGTGGGTGAATGGGTGGGTGGGTGAGTGGGTGGGTGAGCGAGCAGGTGGGTGAGTGGAATGGCGAGTGAGTGGGCGAGTGAGCAAGCAGGCGAGTGAGTGGGTGGGAGAGTGAGTGGGTGAATGAGCAAGTGGGTGAGTGGGTGGGTGGGTGAGTGAGTAGGCGAGCGAGCAAGTGGATGGGTGGGTGAGTGGGTGATCAAAAGGACAAGCAAATGTTGTTCAGCGACAGCGCGTTACAAGTTGACACGATCATTCCTATTACAAGAGTGAGAGAATGATGCAATACGAACAGGCTTCACCCATTCTGGCTTTATCCAGGCGTTAGGATATCAACACACCGACTAGGCACCTATAACAAGTCTACATGACCCCCGCGTACTTGTGGTAAAACACGCCAACGAACATGCCAACAAGCATGCTTTGACAATGCACGCCTTGTCCTTGACGCCGATTGGCCTGCGCCAGAGAGAACCTCCGATCGCCAACGGTTGGCCACGTACGGCACGAAAGAAGTTCAACACACGCACGTACGTTACGGATGTTCGTCAGCGCTCGAGACGAAAGGGCCGCCGAGAGGCAAACAGTAACAAGGACCATGCAAACGTCAAAGCATGAATAGCTCGAGTTTAAAATCTGTTAAGGCGATACAGGGGAATCTTTGTTTGGCATCGTTGTTGTTGTTTATTGTTGTTGTTTATGGATGTTGTGGTTATGGTTGCTGTGGCTGTGGTTGTTATTGTTTATGGTTGTTATTGTTTATGGTTGTTGTGGTTGTGGCTGAGCTAGCAACCACTCACCCTCCCGGGCTGAACTATCTCGTGATGTCCCGTCAGGCTGTACTGAATCTGCATCAGCTTCTCAAAGTTGTCCTGCAGAGACACGTGGAGAGATGGACACACAAACAGACAGACAGACACACAGATGGACATGTGGAAAGATGGACAGACGGGACACGTGGTGAGACGCACGGGCACACGGACAGATGAACACGTGGACAGATGAACATGTGGACGTGCGGACACACACACAGATGGACAGATGGACACACGGGACAGACGCGGGGGATGTCAGTGCTAATGACCCGACCATGTGGGGTTGTTCAGGGTCATGCTAATCCTAAACAAACACACCCAGCTTATCCGCACAAGGGGAGGGGGGGGGGGGGCAGCCACGATCATTCGGATTAGGGGAAGGGGGGGTCCAAATCAGCTCCCCACTCAGTGGAGGAGGGGGGGGGGGGATTGGGAGAGTTCACAGCGATGAGATAACAGGGGTCAAACATCATACAGGATCATATTATCAGTCCCAAGGACATGATCAGCAGTCGCATCAGCAGTATCGTCTGCAGCCAGAGCAGCAGCAGCAGCAGAAGAATCAGGATCAGGATTCGTAGAAGCGGTAGAATCGTCAGCGGTCACGGCGGCAGCATCATGATCAGTAGCCAGTATCGTCATCAGCAAGAGTATGATAATGAATCAGCAGCTGTAGCAGGCAGGCAGCAGCATCAGCGGCAGAAGCGTCAAAACAAATGATAGCACAGCAGGACGATCATCATCAGCATCGCCATCATGAGCAGCAGCAACAGAATGATCAATCATAAAGACCTCTGCATTATCAGCAGCGTCACTCTTGTGTTTGTGTGTGTGCGTAGGGGTGTGAGTAGTGGGGAGCGGTGGTGTAGCGGTTAGCGCGCTGCGCTACGAACCTGGCGACCCGGGTTCAATTCCTGCTCACGGCGAACAACACCGGTGACGATTATCTGAACCGGTCCTAGGCCTCCCCTAGGTCGACTCAGCCTCAAATGAGTACCCAATGCAGTGTGTAGACATCGCCACTAGGGAGACAAAGGCGGTCGGGCGTGGTGCTTGCCACCCACCCCCTCGTGTAATGTTCCGGCCTTCATAGGTGCTCGCTAACAGCACTTGCCCCTACAGTCTGTTAAGGCTATACGGGGGATCTTTGTCTTTGTTGTAAGGGTGTTAGTGTGGGGGTCCAGCCTCAAATGAGTGCCTGCTGCGATGTGTAAACATCGCCACTGGGGAGACAAAGGCGGTCGGGCGTGGTGCAGGCCACCCACCCCCTCGTGCACCGTGCCGGCCTTCATAGGTGCTCGCTAATGGCACTTGCCCCAATAACCTGTGTAGGCTATACGGGGGATCTTTGTTTTATGAATGAGTGTAGGGGTTTACGTGTGCGTGGGTGGGTGTGTGTGGGTGTGTGTGTGTGTGGGTGGATGGGTATGTGTGGGTGTGTGTTGGTGGGTGTGTGTTGGTGGGTGTGTGGGGGTGTGGGTGTGGGGGGGGGTGTGCGTGTGTGCGTGTGTGGGTGTGTGTGGGTGTGTGGGAGGGGGTGTGGGGAGGTGTGGGTGGATGCGTGTGGGTGCGTGTGTGTGTGTGCCGTTATCGTGTCACCTACCCCCTGTTTCATGCTGTCGTTGGCATGGTCAGCCACCTCGCTCACCATCGCCAGGGCGGCTGCTCGCGATGGAACACAAACAAAGACAAATATCCCCTGTGTAGCCCAAACAGACTGTTGGGGCAAGTGCTGTTCGCGAGCACCTATGAAGGCCGATGCAACACGTACACACACACACGCGCGCGCGCCCACGAGCACATGTCCGGTAATTTCCCAACGACTCTGTTCCCGATTCCTCCGTCGGCGTCATTCCCGGGCGACGGGACGATCCGTTCGGATCTCCCCAGCGGGGGGCAGGGGGTGACATCGATCGCGTGAGAGAACGGCCCGAGGAATCGGACATCGCAGATCTACCTCCGAGCCTGCCGCTCAAGTGACCTCTGGAGGCGCTGCCCCACCCGCCCTGCGACCGGGACCGATGGTCGTTTCGTGGCAGCTGCATTGATCGTCGTGTATCATTCTCGGAGTTGGAATTTTAAAACGAAATTAAGTAAAAAAAAACGGTGAAATTGCGAGTGGATTTTAAGATACTGCTATGAACCTTTAAGGCTCAAAAAGGACTCACACCACCCCACATCACTTGCAAGCGATTAATACATTTATATATCCCGTCAAGGTCCTTCAGATCTTCTAATCTCCAACTGCTCAGCACTCCCAGGTCTGGGTTGCGCTCTTTTGGCGATCGTACTTTTGTTAGCGTGGCACCCAAGCTACGGAACGCGGCTTTGCCGCTTGAAATCATCCAATGGGAGTCGGTGGATATCTGCAAGTCTGCTGTGAAACCCCCGTCGCTTCAAAGTGGCGTTCCCTGCTTCAGTGTTATCGCTTTCACCGCTGGTTCTGGTTTTGTTTCACTGCTTTTCATGCACGGCGCATTGCGATCCCAGGATGGAAGGCCGCATTATACATTTAAATCTAGATTTTAAGCTTTCGTGACTGCAGGAATCCATACTCTTTGGTTCTTTTGGTAAAGTCACGTAGGTAGAAAATAAAATAAATCACAAAATAAATCACAATTGTGATTCATTGTATTTTATACCTACTTGACTTTACCGAAAGAACCAAAGAGTATACATTCGAATTATTATTTTAACAAGAATCTGGCATGATGGCTCTTTGTATACGCGTGTATGCTGTAAATGCTTGTCACACCGTGTGTAGCCAACCATGCTCATCAGAGGTGAGGGGGAAGGACAACAAACTAAACACAAGAAGCAGCTCTGTGTTCATGTGAAGTCATTGGTAACAGGCGTGAGACCAATCAACTCAGCGGGCTTGAGAGAACCCGGTTTAATGACAACTGTGTGAGCCTATGCATCTCTATGTGAGTTTATGGGTCTCTGTGTAAGTCTGTGGGTCTCTGCGCAAGTCTATGGGTCTGTGTAAGTCTGTGGGTCTCTGTGTAAGGCTGTGGGTCTCTGTGTAAGTCTGTGGGTCTCTGTGTAAATCTGTGGGTCTCTGTATAAGTCTATTGGTCTCTGTATACTTTGTGGGTCACTGTATAAGTCTATTGGTCTCTGTGTAAGTCATTCGTGACCGGGCTTAGACCATCAACTCACTGCACTTGAGAACCTGGTTTCATCACAGGCAGCGGGTAGAACCCGGATTCGAACCCATGGGCTCAGCGAAGCTGGCTCTGCGACCTCTTAGCCACTCAGCCACCTACCTCCACCATTTTTATTCTCATTATTGATCGAATAATGATTTTAATCCATTTCGGTTCCGTTCCTGGATTTGGAAATTTTGGTTCCATGTCGGTCGCAGTCTTCCGATCGTTCATTCTGGGCGTTAATTCGCTCCGTTCCGCGTTCTGTTCCGCATTCCGTTCCACGTCGCTCACCGTCTTCCGATCGTTCATTCTGGGTGTTAATTCGCTCTGTTCCGCGTTCCATTTTGCGCTGCGGTCCATATTTCCGTCGATCGCTGCACTGTCTGCGGTGTGGACCGCCGGCGAGGTACTCGGCAAAACCCAGGACCGGCCACAACCGCTTCTCCCCATTTCGGAACGGAGCGGGGCGGAGTTGGGGACAGCAGCGGAGGAGAGACGGAGGCTTTACCTTGCGTGTCCTTGTAGTCTGCGGATTCCGGAGTGAGGTTCTTGAGGTAGTCTGCGGGGATACAGCGACAGCAGTGCGATGAGACGACGTAAAAAAATTGCCACGGGAAAATTGCCACGGAGAAATTGCCACGGAGAAATTGCCACGGAGAAATCGCCACGGAGAAATCGCCACGGAGAAATTGCCACGGGGAAATTGGCACGGAGAAATCGCCACGGAGAAATTGGCACGGAGAAATCACCACGGAGAAATTGCCACGGAGAAATTGCCACGGAGAAATTGCCACGGAGAAATCGCTACGGAGAAATTGCCACGGGGAAATTGGCACGGAGAAATCGCCACGGAGAAATTGCCACGGGGAAATTGGCACGGAGAAATTGCCACGGGGAAATTGCCACGGGAAAATTGCCACGGGGAAATTGCCACGGGGAAATTGCCACGGGGAAATTGCCACGGAGAAATTGCCACAGAGAAATTGCCACGGCGAAATTGCCACGGGGAAATTGCCACGGGGAAATTGCCACGAAGAAATTGCCACGAAGAAAATTGCCACGAAGAAATTGCCACGAAGAAATTACCACGAAAAAATTGCCACGGAGAAATCGCCACGGAGAAATTGCCACGAAGAAATTGCCACGGAGAAATTGCCACGAAGATATTGCCACGAAGAAATTGCCACGGAGAAATTGCCACGAAGATATTGCCACGAAGAAATTGCCACGGAGAAATTGCCACGGAGAAATTGCCACGGGGAAATCGCCACGGAGAAATTGCCACGGAGAAATCTCCACGGGGAAATCGCCACGGAGAAATTGCCACGAGGAAATCGCCATGGAGAAATTGGCACGGAGAAATTGCCACGGAGAAATTTCCACGGGGAAATTGCCACGGAGAAATTGCCACGGAGAAATTGCCACGGAGAAATCGCCACGGAGAAATCGCCACGGAGAAATCGCCATGGGGAAATTGCCACGGAGAATTGCCATGAAGAAATTGCCACAGAGAAATTGCCACGGAGAAATTGCCACGGAGAAATTGCCACGGGGAAATTGGCAGGGAGAAATTGGCAGGGAGAAATTGGCACGGAGAAATCGCCACGGAGAAATTGCCACGAAGAAATTTCCACGAAGAATCGCCATGAAGAAATGGCCACGGAGAAATTACCACGAAAAAATTGCCAAGGAGATGACGTGGGAGGGGGAGGGGACATCCAGACTGACAGCTGCAGAGAGACAGAGAATCCAACAGGCAGATTGAGGAGACACACAGACTGACAGACAGAGGATTGGGCAGCCAAGGGACGTAGAGAAAACAAAACTATATTTTTTATTTTACCAGGTAAGGCCCAGTGAGCTATATAGTTATTTAACGGAAGTGACCTGGCTATCACAAATGATAGCTCAACGAAGTGGCTTATCATCATGTGGAAATTCATAGCAGCCAAATACTCGAAATGCACATTGATTGTAAATGTGGAGGGAAAAAAGAATGGATGACCCAGAGGAAATTCCACACGACCACAGGCAGAGAGACACGCAAACTCCAAATATACGGGCATGGAACTCACGACCTCCTGTATACCAGACGAGGCAGTTAACATCTCATAGCCACTGTGGCGCCCCACAGAGATGAGGAGAGGGAGAGAAACCGAGAGACACGGGCAGATGATGGAGCTTGGAGGACAGACCAGGAGATGGGACAGGCAAACAGCCGAGAGAAAAAAAAACACACGCGAACAAGTGACGTGCACAAGCAGGCAATCCGACTTGCAGGTAACACAGACGTATGTCTGCATCCATAAGAGGGTTTTTTGGGGGGGTTAAATCGCGTACACACACGCGCGCACGTTTCCAAAACTTTTCAAGAAACCTGTCCGAGCAAACTTTTATTCGGGGGAAAAGTATTTTATTTAGAAATTAACTTACAATCGTGCACCCATTTAGATGACTAACAGTTACACAATTATTTTTGCACTAATCCCTTAGTTCGTAATATAAATGTGTCGTTAAACCCGCCGCCACCCGACACAGCCAATTAGTAACATATGTATGTATGTTGAACTTATTATGCTCCATACGTAGCTAACCGTGCTAAGACAGATACACACACAGACACAAAGATTCCACCGTGTGGCCTTAACAGACTGTTGGGGCAAGTGCTGTTAGCGAGCACCTATGAAGGCCGGCACGGCACACGAGCGGGTGGGTGGCCAGCACCACGCACGACCGCCTTTGTCTCCCGAGTGGCGATGTTTACACACTGCACCGGGTTATAATTTGAGGCTGAGTCGACCTAAGGGAGGCCCGGGACCGGTTCAGATAATCGTCACTGGTGTTGGCCGTGAGCGGGAATCGAACCCGGGTCGCCAGGTTCATAGCGCAGCGCGCTGACCGCTACACTACCGCTCCCCACACAGACACACACACAGCTACACACACAGCAACACACACAGCGACACAAATACACAGCGACACACAGACAGCGACACACACACGCAGCCACACACACAGCGACACACACACAGCGACACACACTGCGACACACACACACAACGACAGACACACACAGCCACACACACACAGCGACACACACACACACAGCGACACACACACACAGCGACACACACACACACAGCGACACACACACACAGCGACACATACACACACACAGCGACACACACACACACAGCGACACACACACACAGCCACACACACACAGCGACACACACACACAGCCACACACACACAGCGACACACATACACACACAGCGACACACACACAGCGACACACACACACACACAGCGACACACACAGCGACACACACACACAGTGACACACACAGCCACACACACACACACACAGCGCCACGCACGCAGGCACGCGAGAGCTTGCCCTTACCGGTGAGCAGGAGCCGGTACTGGGGGATCCTCTGCACCGGCTTGAGCAGGTGGTGCTTCAGGGCCAGGTTGGCGCAGCGGGGGCTCATCTGAGAGTCGTGGGGGCGGGGCGGGCGGGGGCACGGGGGGGGGGGGGCGGGGGCACGGGGGGGGGGGGGGCGGGCGACGACAGTGGGGGGGGGGGGGGGGTTGCCTACGTTGAGCACGAGTTTTGACGCACTTCTGAAACGCTTGGCCAAGACGGTCCCTGGCACCGGAGTGATCGTCCGGAGCCGGTCCCCAGTCCTGGAACGGGTCGGCGAATCGGTTCCTGGGAACTGGGGACGGGGAGAGCTCGGGGAGCCGAGTCAGCCCCGGCTCTCGGACGCTTCAATCAACCGGCCCCCCGGGTTCTGGACCAGCCGCGGCTCAAGAATATATATTTTCTCCCGCGTCGGTCAACTTCTGGTTCTGGAACGGTTGATCGAGCCGGTGACCCTGATCTCAATTCCCCCCCCCAGAAAAAACGGCTGGATAAAAACTGCTTCCAGATCTAGAACAGCTGGTTAAGGCAGTGCCCCCCTCTCTCTTCTTGAAGACTTGGCTAAGCTAAGTCAGGTCCTGTGAAACTTTGGCTGAGCCCGTGCCGGTTCTGAAACCCGTGCCGGTTCCGGAACCCACCTTGATTGTATAACCTGTCTGGGATCTACAACCCATCTACGTTCTAAAACCCCGTCACGGTTCCAGAATCCATCACATTTCCAGTCCTCTCTCTCTCCGAGTCGTCCTCTCTCTCTCTACGGCAGCGAGCGAGGAGCGAATGCTGCGCAGCGGCAGCAGCGGCGCCTGCCGTCGCAGGCTTCCGGCACTATTGATATATCATCATCATTTTAACACGTAGTTGGCTTTCGCGACCAATATCATTCCTTGGGTTACATCGTGTAAATCGACAATTACAATGTTGCGGCATGGCTCACCAGCACACCGGTGCGCTGTACTAGAACCGAATTGGCACGTTCTGTTTACGTGACGCAATTGGCTGTGTCGGGTGGTGGCGGGTTTAACGACACGTTTGTATATTTACGCGATACAACCCAACAAAAACCTGCATCATCACCGTCATCATCACCGTGACGACGACGATGATCATGATTTACATCGTCCATCGCGACGCTCTCGCCGAACCTCGAAGTCCCGCACGACGGCGGCGAACGGCGGGAACTTGCGGCAGCACTCATCCAGCAGCAGGGTGATGCGGTCGAACTCCTTGATGTAGGCCGAGTACATCTTGAGGTAGGGCCCCTTGCGCATGATCACGTCGGCGATGCGCTCGCGCTCCTCCTCCCTGACGCGCGCACGGACACGCACGCACACAAAGACAAAGATCCCCCGTGTAGGTTTAACAGACGAGGGCAAGTGCCATGGGCGAGGATGCGCCTACAAAGGCCGGCCGCGGGCGCACGAAGGGGGTGGGGGGTGGCCAGCACCACGCCTGGCCGCCTTTGTCTCCCCAGTGGCGATGTTTACTACACATCGCACCAGGTACTCATTTGAGGCCGAGTCGACCTAGGGGAGGCCCAGGACCGGATCCGATAATCGTCACTGGTGTTGGCCCGTGAGCGGGAATCGAACCCTGGTGGGGGTGGTGGTGGTGGTGGGGGGGGTGGTGGTGGTGGGGGTGGAGGTGGAGAAGGTGGTGGTGGTGAAGGTGGTAGTGGTGGTGTTGGTGGTGAAGGTGGTGGTGGGGGGGTGGTGGTGGTGTTGGTGGTGGAGGTGGTGTTGGTGGTGGTGGTGGGGGGTGGTGGTGTTGGGGGGTGGTGGTGCTGGGGGTGGTGGTGTTGGTGGTGGTGGTGGTGGGGGTGGTGGTGGTGGTGGGTGGTGGAGTTGGTGGTGGTGGTGGTGGAGAGGGGTGGTAGTGGTGGTGGTGGTAGTGGTGGAGGTGGTGGTGGTGGTAGTGGTGGAGGTGTTGGTCGTGGAGGTGGTGGTGGTGGTGGAGGTAGTGGTGGTGGTGGTGGTGATGGTGTTGGTGGTGGTGGAGGTAGTGGTGGAGGTGGTGGTGCGTGTGACTGACCAGTGAGCCATGCGCTCCTCCAGCTCCTGCAGCAGGCTCTGGTTGAGCTCGTAGAGCTGGGGCAGGTAGAGGAGGATCTGGGACAGCGTCTTCTCGTCCACCAGGGGCTTGCCCGCCTCCACGCCGGCGCTCACCACCGCGCCACGGAAATCCTGCAGCGGGCGGGTGAGCGGGTTGATCAGTGGGTGAGCGGGTTGACCAGCGGGTGAGCGGGTTGACCAGCGGGTGAGCGAGCGATTGGGCGAGCGGGTCGGTGGGTTAGTTAGGCGAGGGAAAGAATAAGTGAGTGAGTGAGTGAGTGAATGAGTAGGTGGGTGGGTGATTGAGTGAGTAAAGAAGCCGGTTGGTGAGTGAGTGGAGAGGATGGGTAGCTAAATGGGTGAGTGGGTGGGTAACTAAATGGGTGAGCGAGTGGGTGAGTGAGCGAGCGAGAGGGTGGGCGAGTGAGTGAGCGAGTTGGCGGGCGAGCGGGTGGGCGAGCGGGTGGGTGGATGAGTGAATGAGTTAGTGGGTGAGTGAGTGTGCAAGTGAGTGATGGCATGAGCGAGCGGGCGGCATGCTGAACAACTGAATGTGTAAATAAACTAAAAAACTCACAATGTGTAGCAGCTTCAGGACATCAACAAACCTAGAGAGACACGAGGCACATGGTCACGACACTTTGTGTGTGCAGGCCTAAGTGTTCAAGGCGGGTCAGGGATAGAGGTAAGGATAGGGTTTGTGTATTAAGAGTGGAGTGGAGGGGGTGGAGGTGGTGGAGGGGTGGGCCGCCGTGATACGTACACTCTCTCCGAGCTGACCATCTCGCGCGCGATGTGGAACGCCTTGTTCCTCTTCACTTCCACATCGCTCTGAGAGAGAGAGAGGAGAGGCACAAACAACAACACAAGCACCAAACCCTTTAGCCTCTAATCAAATAGCAACCGCGTGAGAAACGTTAGTCGCATACAAAAGGAATTAGAATGGGTATTCTGTATGAATGAGAAATTCACATGTGAACACCAAAAATGTAATTCTTACATCGGAGGCAAAGCTGCAGCCCTGCAACTGAAAGTGCGCCACGGTGGCTCGGAGATGTTAACTACCTCACCTGGTATACAGGAGGTCGTGGGTTCGATCCCGACCCTGACGCCTGCTGCTGTATATTTGAAATTTGCGTGTCTCTCTCCCTGTGGTCACGCAGATATTTCTCCAGGTCCTCCGGTTTTCCCCTCCACATTTAGAATCAACATCGCGCGCTCAGAGTATTTGGCTGCTGTGAATTTCCACACGACAAGCCACTTCGTTGGAGCTATCGTATCTGAGAGCCAGCTCGCTAATGAAATAGAGCTACACAGGCTCAGTGGGAACTTGCCTGGTAAAATAAAAAGAGTTTGGTGAAGAGTTAGTTAGCTTGCTCGCGCAACTCCTGGCGGCAAGGGCCCTCTCCTACATGACAGCCCCTCTTGACGATTCTCGGCCTACTCAGAACCAGGATATTTAGCTTCACCGGAGGAATCCGATGAGCTAGCAAGCTCTTCTCCACAGATCTCCAGCGGCTCACAGATGTCCAGTACTCGCCCACGCCGGCCAGACACGCTGGGAGAGGTTGGCGTACCCACACTTTACCCCACCGTACGCGACCCGACGGCCGGGTGGGACAGAGGCGATGGAGGCGGAACGAAAAGGTTCTTGCGCAGCGACAACGCCGCGGGGGGGGGGCGGCGGGTGGAGCCGAGAGCCAGGCCACTGTGCGTCCCCTGGCCGCTGTGCCCTTCCTGGCCGCTGTGCATCCCCTGGCCGCTGTGCGTCCCCTGGCCGCTGTGCGTCCCCTGGCCGCTGTGCGCTCCCTGGCCGCTGTGCGTTCCGTGGCCGCTGTGCGCTCCCTGGCCGCTGTGCGTCCCCTGGTCGCTGTGCCCTCCCTGGCCGCTGTGCGCTCCCTGGCCGCTGTGCGTTCCCTGGCCGCTGTGCGTCCCCTGGCCGCTGTGCGTCCCCTGGCCGCTGTGCGCTCCCTGGCCGCTGTGCCCTCCCTGGCCGCTGTGCGTCCCCTGACCGCTGTGCCCTCCCTGGCCGCTGTGCGTTCCCTGGCCACTGTGCGTCCCCTGGCCGCTGTGCCCTCCCTGGCCGCTGTGCGTTCCCTGGCCACTGTGCGTCCCCTGGCCGCTGTGCGTCCCCTGGCCGCTGTGCGCTCCCTGGCCGCTGTGCGCTCCCTGGCCGCTGTGCGCTCCCTGGCCGCTGTGCGCTCCCTGGCCGCTGTGCGTCCCCTGGCCGCTGTGCGCTCCCTGGCCGCTGTGCGTCCCCTGGCCGCTGTGCGTCCCCTGGCCGCTGTGCGTCCCCTGGCCGCTGTGTGCTCCCTGGCCGCTGTGCGCTCCCTGGCCGCTGTGCGTTCCCTGGCCGCTGTGCGTCCCCTGGCCGCTGTGCGCTCCCTGGCCGCTGTGCGTTCCCTGGCCGCTGTGCGTCCCCTGGCCGCTGTGCGCTCCCTGGCCGCTGTGCGTCCCCTGGCCGCTGTGCGTCCCCTGGCCGCTGTGCGTCCCCTGGCCGCTGTGCGCTCCCTGGCCGCTGTGCGTCCCCTGGCCGCTGTGCGCTCCCTGGCCGCTGTGCGCTCCCTGGCCGCTGTGCGCCCCCTGGCCGCTGTGCGTCCCCTGGCCGCTGTGCGTCCCCTGGCCGCTGTGCGTCCCCTGGCCGCTGTGCGTCCCCTGGCCGCTGTGCGTCCCCTGGCCACTGTGCGCTCCCTGGCCGCTGTGCGTCCCCTGGCCACTGTGCGCTCCCTGGCCGCTGTGCGCTCCCTGGCCGCTGTGCGTTCCCTGGCCACTGTGCGTCCCCTGGCCGCTGTGCGCTCCCTGGCCGCCACGCCGAACCGGGAAGGGAGTCGCACGGTGGCAGCCAAGGGCGTCGCGGCTTCCACCCCGTGGCACACAAAGAGCTTCCCACCCCCCCCACCCTCGCCCCCCCCCACCCTCGCCCCACCCACCCTGCCCCCCCCCCCACCCTGACCCCCCCACCCTGGCCCCGCGGAGGAGCGTGCGCGAGCTGCAGAGGAGCCGCCGTCTCCTTAGCAGCGGAGCTTCCCGCGCCAGAACCCACGACGGTTTGGGGTCGCGGGGGGACCCGGGAGGGGGGGGTAAGGGGGTAAGGGGGAGGAGGGGTGCGGAGGGCGACGGTGGCGGAAAGGCGGCAGTGGCAGTGGGGAGCGGCAGGGTGCCTGCGTGTGTGTCCCTGTGTGTCTGTGTGTGTCCCTGTGTGCATGTCCCTGTGTGTGTCCCTGTGTGTCTGTGTGTCCCTGTGTGTGTGTGTCCCTGTATGTGTGTGTCTGTGTGTTTCCCTGTGTATCCCTGTGTGTGTGTGTCTGTGTGTGTCCCTGTGTGTGTGTCCGTGTGCGTGTCCCTGTGTGTCCCTGTGTGTCTGTGTGTCCCTGTGTGTGTGTGTCCCTGTGTGTGTCCCTGTGTGTCCCTGTGTGTGTGTGTCCCTGTGTGTGTCCCTGTGCGTGTGTCCCTGTGTGTGTCCCTGTGTGTCTGTCTGTGTGTGTGTCTGTGTGTGTCCCTGTGTGTGTGTGTCTGTGTGTATCCCTCTGCGTGTCCCTCTGTGTGTCCCTGCGCGTGTCCCTGTGTGTGTGTCCCTGCCGATGACTGGTACCAGCGGTATCAAGATCGGCCTCAGTGGAGGGGGGACTGGGGGGGACGGGGTTATGGGGGGGGGCGGAGGCAGCGGGGGGGGGGGGGCCCTCAGTGGCTTTCATCTGAATGCGTCCATTCACGGGGAAGATAGAGCGGTTGTGCAATGGGGGGTGGGGGGGGGGGGAAACCGGATTGTCCGGGGCGGTTTGGGAAGGGGCCGCCAAGTCACGACGCCTGTGTGATTAATGTCCCGTGCAGACCTGGGGTCAATAACAACAACGATGATGATAGCGGTAACGATACCTACGACACTTGCCGACAGCAAACGTGAGCTGGAACTACGATTCACGACCGCGCTGCGATTGCGGTTCAGTACGACTCGCGCAATCGCCGCACCTCCGATTAGCACGGTCGGCTACGTACGGTGCGAAAGAAGTTCCACGTGCGTAGTTTCTTGTCCTTCCCCCGCACCTCCGACTAGCGCCGACTAGCGCGATGGGTTTGGCGCGGCGCGCTCTGCAACCGGCGACCCGAGTTCGATTCCCAGCCGTGACTAACGTCGAGTGGCGAGTGATAGCTTAATCCCCCCCCCGCAACTTCACCAACACACATTGACGGGCGCGGTGAAGTATGGTCAAAATCTTCCATCATTGAGATGGTGTGGGGAGGCCTTCATCCTGCAGTGGACTGGTGAAAAGTGCGGTAAATAAACTTTTGATCATTCTAGAGCCTACTAATAGTCTCCCCATTGCAGCACACACCGTTAGCGAGCACCGATTTAGGCTGGGCCAGCTGACATTTACACACCGCACCAGGAGTCAGCCTAGCGGGAGGCCTAGGAACGGGTTCAATTGCCGCTCGCCACTGATGTCAGAATCAGCAACTTTATCAATTCCGGAGAAATCCGATGAGCTGCAAAGCTCTTTTTCACAGATGTCCAGCGGGGGCACGGAATCAGAAAGAAAGACGTAAGCCGGGTTCGTAACGCGGCACGCTAACCGCTGCACCACCACTCCCCCATGCAAAGACAAAGATTCCCCGTGTAGCCTGAACACAGCTGTTGGGGCGAGTGCTGCGACTAGTGAGCGCTCGTCGATCCGTGAGTCTTCCCGGCACGTGAATCACGGCGCCGAGTCTCACCAGCGGCGGAGCACGCGGGCGGCAGCAGCGTTCCCGGCTGCCTTGAGCGACATGGAGCACCCCGCCTTCTCCTCCTCACGCTCCTCCTCCTCGTCGTCCTCGTCGTTATCCTCCGACGAGGTGTCGGGCACGTCCTCGTCCGACTGGATACTGTCGCCGAAGCTCTTCATCCGGCCGGTCCTGAGAGTCGCACGACGATGGTAAAGACGCCGGTAACGACTGGCTGACAACAACGATGACGACAATGACGATGCCGGCGACAATGACAATAATGACGATGACGACGATGACGACGACAACAATGACGATGCAAACGCACGCTCCCACGCCCCCACGACCCCACGACCCCGCGACCCCACGACCGCGCGACCACACGACCCCACAACCCCTCGACCCCTCGACCCCTCGACCCCTCCGCCGCCACGCAATCACCTGGCGCCAGCGTCCGAGAAGCTGCCGTCCTCTGCGTCCAGGAAGGAGTTCATGTCCACGTAGGAGAAGGGTTCTTCTTCTTCGTCGTCATCATTGTCGCCGTCAACACGGCGGCGGCGGTCCGAGTCGCCGCGGAGGGCCTCCACGCGGGGGTCACCCCACCGTGGGTCGCCGCCACTGCGGAGGAGATCCTGGAGGCCGAGGCTTCTCCCACGCGGGCGTGGCGGTGGCACCGCCGCCACGCGCTCCACCACACGCTGCTCCACGCGCTGCTCCACGCTCTCGTACGCGGCGTCTGTTGGGGCGGGACGACGGTCGGCTCCTGAGTCAGCACGAAACGTCAGTTGGCTCGACGGTCGGTTGGCTAGACGTCGGTTGGCTCGACGGTCGGCTGGCTAGACGGTCGGTTGGCTAGACGGTCGGTTTGCTAGACGGTCGGCTGGCTAGACGGTCGGTTAGCCAGACGGTCGGCTGGCTAGACGGTCGGTTGGCTAGACGGTCGGTTTGCTAGACGGTCGGCTGGCTAGACGGTCGGTTAACCAGACGGTCGGCTGGCTAGACGGTCGGTTTGCCAGACGGTCGGTTGGATTATAGCTCTGTCGACTTGTTAGTTGGCTGACCAGTTGGATTATGGGTCAGTAGTTTAGTTAGTCAGTACGCTGTTCAGTTGGAAAATGCGTCAGACAATTAGTCAGTCGAAAGACAACTCAGTCGATTAGTCGAACAGTCGGTTAGCCAGCGAGTCAGTCGGTTGTATGACGAGTTCATAATTTAGTCAGTAAGTTTGTTTGTTGGTCAGTCAGCTGGGTAAAGGGTCAGTGGGTTACTCAGTTGGTTCGTCGGGTCAGTCCACTGGGTGACTTAAGTTGTAAGAGGCCGGTCAGCAGGCCGGTGAGCGGCTCGTACCCGAGTCAGCGCACCCGTGCTTGGGCGTGCTGGCGCATGGGAAGGAGATGGAGCGTGGTTTGGAGGGTGGCGTGCGGAGCCCCAGGGGGAGAGGGGGGTCCACCACTCCGTCGTCCCGCGTGACCCCGCGCGACCCTGTGCGCGTGTACGTCCGCACCTGCACGTGAGACAAAGCCGCCGCCGCGGCGACGGCAGCGTCATCTCGGGGACTCGGCGAAGGGAAGCGAGCTCATTGGTCAGCCAGCTGGTGACGTGATTGGTCATTTAGTCAGTCAATGGGGCAAACAGCTCATAGGTCAGTCATTCTTTGGGAAAGACTACGAGTCACCGTAGAAGTCTGTGGGCCTCTGTGCGAGCCTGTGGGCCTCTGTGCGAGTCGCTGGGTCTATATGCGAGCCTGTGGGTCTCTTCGCGTGTCTGTGGGCCTCTGCACGAGTCTGTGGGTCTATATGCGAGTCTGTGGGTCTATATGTGAGTCTGTGGTCTTCCTCACGTGTCTGTGGGCCTCTGCGCGAGTCTGTGGGCCTCTGCGCGAGTCTGTGGGTCTATATGCGAGTCTGTGGGCATCTGTGCGAGTCAGTGGGTCTATATGCGAGTCTGTGGGCCTCTGCGCGAGTCTGTGGGTCTATATGCGAGTCTGTCGGATTCTCACTTTGCTGCGCTGCACCTGGCTCTCGCTGCTCCTCCGCGTGAGCGACGTCGCGAGCTCCCCCCTCTGCTGCTGTTTCCCTCCTCGCCACCGCAGGTCCCTGCCGCCGGGCGAGGGCAACGGTCACGGTGGCGAAGCGAGGCACGAGCGAAGCCACGACAAAGTTTCGCATCCCAAGCAGTTGAAGGGGGGGGCCACCCCCGAAAAAAATATACTGGGGTGTATCCAGCATCGTCAACTATAATTCAGCTTAGAATTTTTTTTTATAAAAGTAAAAACACAAATTCTTAAAATAACTCGCTCATTCTGAAATCATCGTGAAAAATGATCCAAACTCTGTACGGACTCCACAATTAAAAAAAAAAATTACTATTTTTTTTACTTTAAACTCTGTCAGACGACGACCACATTAAACATTTTAGGCAATTTGTTACCAGGCTCGCGATTGGCAATAAGAGGCTACGCCGTTACGCGCGCCTCGTCAACCAAAGTGACTTAAAAGTCAGGCGCTAAATGAAAGGACAATCAGGCAGCTGCGATGACGCCGCACCCCGCGGACTTGTGCGACGTGGCGGGAGTGCGACGTGCCGCCCCCCAATTCCCGTTTCCCGGTGCGGGCGAACCTCTCAGCGCGTCGCACGCAAGAAGCCGTCCGGCTCTACACGCCCGCGTCCGTGTCGGCGCCACCGCTCACCTGCAAACCCCCTGCGCCGGCGCAGGTGACGACTCTGTGCCCCCAAACAGCCGGATCTCGACTTTGCTCTTTCCCGAAAACCGCAGTGGAAGGAAGCTCCTGAAGGAGCTCCTCTTCTTCCCTTCACCGGCGACGGCGCCGCCGCTCCGTTCGTCTCCCTCCGCCGGCCGGGGGGAGTACTTTACGATCGGCCTCTGGGTGATGTCGGCCGGCTGGAACGGCGGCGGGATGTCCTTGAGGCAAGCCGCCGCCTCCGCCGCCCGGGAGCTCTTCCGGCCCACGTCGTCGCCCCTTCGGATGTTCCTTCTTGGGAGGGAGCGTCGGCGGGGGAGGAGGCCCAAAGTTCGGCCGCCTCCGGTCTATCGAGTGGCCGGCGCCGCCACCGCTGCCGCCGCCGCCGGCGCCCCTCCGCGTCGCCACCCAGTCCGTGTCGCTGTCCCGCTGGGCTCGCTCCAACTCCGCGGCCGTGCCGGGCGCCGGCGACCGGACATTTCCTCCTCCCCGCTTCGGTTTGAGCGGCGGAGGCACCGGTCGTCCGCTCCGCGTCCTTCTCGTGTTGCCGGAGCCTCCGGCCCAGCTCGGTTGCCGCATCTCCTGGCGTGACGTGCGCGTCAAACGCTGCCCGTTCTCTGACGGGAGGCCGGGGTTCGTTTTGGCACGTCGCCGACCGACGGCGCCCGTCGCCGGGGCGTTCTGCCGGGGACCGGCTTCCGCCGCTCGCCATTTCTCCGCCGGCGTCCACGCCCGCGATATTCCGCGCCGTCGAGCCACCCTGCGGCCATTCCGTCGGCGTCGGCGCGCCAAGCTGCGGGAGAGAATGCAGCTCGACGGCGCCGGCGGCGCCTTCCGGCTTCCGTGCCGCGGCCTCGTCCGCCCGCGGGCGAGGCCGCCGGTCGTCGTCGCGACCCGTTTCGTCGGAGGCCACGCTCTCCGTGGCCCTGTCTGGGAAGCGAGGTGTCGGCACCAGACGTCTGGGCTTGGGGACGGGGGCCCCGGCATCTCCGCGCGCTCTCGGCCGTCCGGGGGAGCCCGACGACCTCTCGCTCGACCTCTTGCCGGCGCTCGCCGGACGTCGCGGCGTCAATCCCGCATCTGGAGGCGCCGCGACCGGGAAGCGGCTCGATGGCTCCCCCTCGACGCCGCCGCCCGGCGAGGGGCAGCGGCGGTCGCGCACGGCCGGGCCGTCCGGCGCGAGTTCTCCGGGATCCGCGCCGGCCTTCGGCGGAGGAGCCACGGGGCGGACGGCGCCCGCCGCCCGTGCGTCCGCCGCCTCGTGGCGCAAGCGCGGCGCCACCTCGGCGAGAGGCGGGCTCTCCGATCCCTTCGTGCCCGGATCCGGCGATCCGCAAACGCGGCGGCAGCGGCGGCGGCGGTGTCGGCGACGGCTTGGGTGAGTCGAGCACTGGTGCCGCACGGCACGATTCCGGCTGCGCCGCATCGCCGCCGCCGCCATCGAACTCCGTCTGGTGCAGCAGCAGCGCCACTGCCTCGCAGCCGTGTACGTGGATCGCGGCGTCATGCCGGTCGGAGACGCGCCGGAACCGGCACGCCGCCTCGCAGCCCTTGCACGACGCGGCCACGCGGCTCACGGCGCACAGGCAGCAGCTGCCAGCGTCGCCGCCGCCACCATCGCCGCGCTGAGTCAGCCCCAGCCCGTGGGCGGCGCCGAAATCCAGGTGGTGGTGGCAGCAGCACGAGCCAAGCAGCGCCGCCGTCGCCGGGACATCCGGTTTGCGGTTGCGGCTGCCACACTCGCGACACGGCTTGGTGCCGTCAGCCGGGCCCACCGCCGCCACCGCCGCGACCGCCTGCTGCTGCTGCTGCTGCTGCTGTTGCTGCTGCTGCTGCTGTTGCTGCTGTTGCTGCTGCTGCTGCTGCTGCGGCTGCTGCTGCTGCTGCTGCGGCTGCTGCTGCGGCTGCTGCTGCGGCTGCTGCGGCGTTGGCTTCACCTCGGCCACCGGCGGCTTCTTGGCCACCTTAGGTTTGGGGGCCACGGGAGGTTTCTGACTCCTGGGCGACGCATTATTCGCCTGCCCGGCGTGAGCGATCTCGCCGGTGTGGATGGCCTGGTCCGTTTTGCCGATTTGATCGGCGTCGTTCACCCGGTCCGTGTGGTTGTTCTGGTCCGCGTGATTCGCCTGGGGCGCGTGGTTAGTCTGGTCCGCGTGATTCGCCTGGGGTGCGTGGTTGATTTGATCGGAGTGGTTGGCCCGATCTGCGTGGGTTACTTCCCCGGTGTGGTCGCCCTGGTCCTTGTGGTTGGCGCGGTCGGTGTGATTGGCCTGCGGGGCGGGCGGCCTGGGAGGTTGGGAGGGCCGGGGTGGCGCTGGCAGCCGCGGCTTGGGCGCCACAGGTGGCTTCTTGATCTCTGTGCCGTTACAAAAAATTAAAACGAGCAGCGGTTAACGTCTCTGCGGGAACGTGTTTCTTCAAAAGTTACAAGGCCACGGTGCAATCGAGCAATGTTAGGGCAACCGTTGCTGGCAACAACTGACACAGAATTTCCTATCGTCCAAAATGTAGTCGCCCCAAAATATGGACAAATCTGATCGCTGCTCCCCCAAGTAGGCAGCCAGGATGGCGACTTCCAATCAAATCGCAGACCGAGGTCACGTGACCAGCCGAGGTCGCGTGCTCTGCAGACCAATCACTGCTCATCATCAAAACACACCTTTCAACAAGCTCCGTTTTCACTGGCTTGACAGAGCTCTGCCACTCTGTGACTTTTCTGAAGCAAACTCCTGCTGCATTTAACGAGATTAAAGACACTCTCATGGCTAAAATTACTAAATAATCTCAATGCAGCAGTCTTGCGATTCTCAATAAGATTTTCACAAGCGACCTGGCCACAAATGATAGCTCAACGAAGTGGCTCATCACGTGGAAGTGTATCACAACCAAAAACTCTAAACGCGTGATGTTGATTCTAAATGCGGAGGGGAAAAACCGGAGGACCTGGAGAAAAATCCACGCCACCACGGGGAGAACGTGCAACTCAAAATATACAGCAGCAGGCGTCAAGGTCGGAATCGAACCCACAACCTCCTGTATACCAGGTGACGTAGTTAATGTCTCACTATACTGGGTGAAGAAAGGGCGGTATATCATTATCTGGGGAGAGGCGGCGCAGTGGTTTCGCACCCTACGCTGCGAACTCAGCCACCAGAGTTCGATTTCCGGCCACGGCTAACATCAGCGGGAAGCGACGTCAGAGCCGGCCCAGTTATTATCATTATTGTCACGTCCAAACCATTGTCAAAAGCCATTATTCAGTTGGTCGCACATTTTTTGATCGATGAGTGGTAAAAGAGGTTGACAGAGAGCCTTTGTAAAACCCGGATGAGGAGGCGTGGAGCCTGTCGAGCAGAGCCCCAAGTATTTGCGTGGTGAGATTTCTCCGATGGTCTCCGATTACCTCCCACAACTCGAAGCCACAAACTCCCATTCGTGGAATTGCCCAAACATTGCGTGGATGGAGCAGTACTCTCCCAAAATGAGTCTTGCGACTCGGTGAGGCTTGTCAGAGTAAAGAGCAATTACAATTATTCTTAGATTTTTTCGGTAAAGTCATGTAGGAAAAAAACATTAAAAAGTAAAATAAAATAAAAATCACGACGTTTCGGAGGCAACACAAGCTTCCGTCTTCAGGTGGTACCGTCACAGCCACGACAGCTGTATCAAGTAAATGAGAGATTGCAGAAGCTACCACCACTATTATTTATATATAAACGGAGTGGTAGCTTCTGTAATCTCTCATTTACTTGATACAGCTGTCGTGGCTGTGACGGTACCACCTGAAGACGGAAGCTTGTGTTGCCTCCGAAACGTTGTGATTTTTATTTTATTTTACTTTTTAATGTTTTTTACCTACGTGACTTTACCGAAAAAACCTAAGAATATGAATCATTGCAGTCACGAAAGCTTCAAATCTAGAAGCAATTACAATTGTTTACTATCATCATCTCCTGTCGAGAACCCTCAGCTACAGCGGTGGCAACTCTACGTTCCTATGGCAGGAGCAATTCTACCCATAGGGCACCACGCACGACCCCCCCAGCGCTGTATGAAGCGAGTTGCCGCTTCTTCTCTAAAACCCCGAGAATGTCAAGAATCTCCGCAGCTTGTCGGCGGATCACTCGCAGCCCACGCAACCGCGGGGTTTGGCCAACCTGGAACAGACCAGGAGCCAAAAAAGTATCCACGAGTTCTGAAAAAGAGGCACGTATACATATACATATATAAAAGTGTGTGCGTGTGTATATAGTGATTATTTTTTTGGCACAGCACGGGAGACATTCATCATCCCTCTGCTGAGACTGCGATAGCGTGTTCTACTCTTAGTTCTTTCGGTAAAGTCACGTAGGTAAAAAATTAAGTAAATAATAATTAATAATTAATTTAATAGAAAAAATAGAAAAATCACGACGTTTTGGAGGCAACACAAGCTTCCGTCTTCAGGTGAAACTGTCACAGCAAAATATCTGTATCAAGTTCTACGTTACGCCGCCTTCGATAGAGGCCTGTTAAAGACGCCACACGCACGGCTCGTGGGAGACGCCGCTCCGCCACCACGGTGCCACCGGGCACTGTCGTGGCGCAAGCTCCCGCGTGTCGATAGCGGAGCGGGAGCCGGGGGGGGGGGGGGTCGTGCGGACCGGGGAACGTGTAACCGCTCGTCTCCTGCTTCTCACTTATATCCAAATCACGTCGTGAAAACACAAAACACGCGGCGTTATAGGAGAACAAACCGCACTATCAAAGTAGCAGAGAATAACGGACGTCTCCCGTGCTGTGCCGAGAAAACCGTCAATATATACACACTTAAATTTCGATTTAAAGCTTTCGTGACTGCAGGGATTCATCTTCTTGGTTCTTTCGGTAAAGTCACGTCCTCAGGACGGCTGCTTGCGTTGTAGCCGAAACGTCGTGAGAATTATTTTATTATGTTTTATTTTTATTACTTTATTATTTCCCTTCTACGTGACTTTACCGAAAGAACCAAGAAGATATACACACTTGTGTATATATATGTAGACTTGACTCTTTGCAGAACTCATGGGTTACTTTTTGACTCTTGGCCTGTTACAGGCTGGCCACAACTGATGTAGAGTAACAACTGTCGTTTTACATCCAGGTGGTTAACGAGGGGGACAAATTGGCCAACAGGACCAGAGTGGCGAATCCTCGCTGTCATGTTGCCTCCCGCCCCCTCCTCCTCCTCCTTTGTATTGTTTAGAAAGCGGGCATCGAGTTGTTTTATGTTTGACGGCGCATTTACGGGCGACCGCAGTCGCACACTTCCTGCATGGTTTAAACATTTCTTCCTGTGTCCGGTCATCCTTGCGGCGGAGGCTTTTGGCCGCCCATCGAACAAAAGCGGTCCAACTCGAAATCGCGCGGCGCTTTCAGATGCGCTTCTGCGGCCGTCTGGAGCGCTCTGCCCACTGCTATTAAGGAAGCCACTTGGGAGCTATGAACTTTTAAATCATCATCGAGATTGACAAAGTCATTTCTTTCGAAATTATTATTGTGTTTACTTTGCTGCCCTTCCGCCCGCACCTGTGATTAGCACGGTTGGCTACGTACGGTGCAGAAGAAGTTACACGTGCGTACACACATCATGCATTCATTTCCCCCCATCAAAGTGTCCGCATCTGCAATGGCTTGTACCACTCGTTAGGGACATCACAATATATATGTATTCATACTGGAGGAACCCGATGATCTATAAAGCTCTTTTTCACAGATGTCCAGTCGGGGCACTGGGCAAGAACGCGACAACAACAAACACAAAACAACAACACAATACGAGTGCAAAGTGTACGAACGGTAAACAAATCACCCAAACACAGACAAATACTAAGCCATCCCCATCCTACCAGGCAAAGCCCACTGAGGTATTAACTCGTTTTTCAGAAGCGACCTGGCCACAAATAATGATAGCTCAACAAAGCGGCTTATATCGTGGAAATTTATAGCAGCAAAATAATCGAAATAAACCTCGATGCACTGTTCATAAATATAGAGGGAGAAACCGGAGAACCCTGAGAAAAAACATCCACAAGATCATGGGGAGAGACATGCAAACACGAAATATACAGCAGGCATCGTCAGGGTCGGGATAAAACGCACGACCCTGTACACCAGGCGAGGGAGTTAACATCTCCTAGCCACCGTGGCGCCCCAAACGGTTGTAGCTGCTGCCTTCTAGTATCGGGGGCTATGCATCCCAAGGGTTAAGCAATGACAACCATTCAAGCGCACACAAAACACGCAAACTCCAAAAATACAGCAGCCGTGGAACCCACGTCCTCCTATATACCCAGGTGAGGTAGTTAACATCTCCTAGCCAAAGTTGCGCCCAAAACGGTTGTAGCTGCTGCCTTCTAGTATCGGGGGTCATGCATCCCAAGGGTTAAGCAATGACAACCATTCAAGCGCACACAAAACACGCAAACTCCAAATGTACAGAAGGCGTCAAACCTACGACCTCCTGTACACCAGGCGAGGTAGTTAACATCTCCTAGCCAAAGTTGCGCCCCAAACGGTTGTAGCGTCTGCCTTCTCGTATCGGGGGTCATGCATCCCAAGGGTTAAGCAATGACAACCATTCAAGCACACACAAAACACGCAAACTCCAAAAATACAGCAGCCGTGGAACCCACGTCCTCCTATATACCTAGGCGAGGTAGTTAACATCTCCTAGCCAAAGTTGCGCCCAAAACGGTTGTAGCGTCTGCCTTCTAGTATCGGGGGTCATGCATCCCAAGGGTTAAGCAATGACAACCATTCAAGCGCACACAAAACACGCTAACTCCAAATATACAGCAGCCGTCGAACCCACGTCCTCCTATATACCAGGCGAGGTAGTTAACATCTCCTAGCCAAAGTTGCACCCCAAACGGTTGTAGCGTCTGGCTTCTAGTATCGGGGGTCATGCATCCCAAGGGTTAAGCAATGACAACCATTCAAGCACACACAAAACACGCAAACTCCAAATATACAGCAGGCGTTGAACCCACGTCATCCTATATACCAGGCGAGGTAGTTAACATCTCCTAGCCAAAGTTGCGCCCCAAACGGTTGTAGTGTCTGCCTTCTAGTATCAGGGGCTTTGCATCCCAAGGGTTAAACAATGACAACCATTCAAGCGCACACAAAACACGCAAACTCCAAATGTACAGAAGGCGTCGAACCTACGACCTCCTGTACACCAGGCGAGGTAGTTAACATCTCCTAGCCACCGTGGCGCCCCAAACGGTTGTAGCGTCTGCCTTCTAGATACGGGGGCTATGCATCCCAAGGGTTAAGCAATGACAACCATTCAAGCACACACAAAACACGCAAACTCCAAAAGTACAGCAGGCA